TGTAAAATGCAATGCTTTATCCATAAATACAAGTACCCAGTCGTAGAATGCAAACTGTGGATGAAGAAAATGGCTTGAGAAACTTCATCTGGTTAAAATGTTTCAGCTGTTCTCTTCTTTGTTGACTAATGAAGATCTTTTTTAGAGTGTTTTGGCACTTTGATTCCTATGTTTGTACCAACCAAGATGTGTTTCCTACTGGCAGATGTAGAGGGTGATAAATAATTAGGACTTTTAGTGCTCCCATCACTCACAATTCATAAGGAATGAATATGCAATGTAATGAAACATTTGTGTAAGTCTTCGGCGGAAAATGTGGAGCGCCTAACATTTGTAGCATACTAAAGTGCTACTATTGTAAAATGTGTTAGAAAAAAGGTTTTTTTTGAATGCCCCAGAAATTAGTAACAAGTAAATTTCAGGTTGCCCTTGATATGCATTGTTACTACAAATATGCTCTTGAGAAGTTTAACTCTGGGAGAAATGTGAAGTTAACAGTGGCTTCTTTTTTCACAACTTCTTGAAGGATCTATGCAATGGGGAGAAATGGGCATTTTAGTCCAGGGATCACTTACTCCAGTCTGGCCCATATAGGCAGAAACACACAAATGAATCAGGGCCATCATAAATGGGTGGGTTTGAAGCCTCTGGCCTGCCAAGCATCGATATGCTGTTATGACCCAGAGCTGTGTCATTCAGTCACCTACTGTATGTCACACTTAACTCTGTTATTCTTGACTTATGATGTCTGCATCTCCTGTACTTGTACCTGTACCTGTATGAGGGCTATAGGAGAAATCTTAAATAAAGGCTTACCAGTTCCAAAATGATATATATATATAAACACTCTCGGGAGATAAACACTCTTGTTTGTCTGTCGTGGCCAAGGAACCAAGCTAAAGAACCAAACAACACGGTTGAAAAGAGCATCAGAAATTAAACACAACGTTGAGCTACTACATTTTACAGTAACTTGTAGCTACGGCTACAATGGCAGGAAAAGTCATCCTTGAGGTTACATGATGTCTCCAGTGGAAAGGTCTGAATTTCTATTTTGTAAACGTTCACACACTGATGTTCTATCCAGTTCATTCAGAACCAAATCTAAAGAGACTTGAGCAACAAAAATGCAATCGTGGTAAAGTCTGACATTAAAATGAAAGAGATAGCGAGCAGGATTATTGGATTAATTACTTTGCTGCAAAACTATTCTGAAATCTTCCTTTTAATGTTATAACGATTTGTTGGAGGATGGTGGTAGTGTTGGTGGGGGGTGTTTCAATATTAGATAAGAAGATACTTGTAGATATTGAATCTCACTGACAACGTTGAATTGATTTAGTGAGTCATGAAAGATGTCCGATATGTGCATGCCAAAACTCAAACATTGTTGTGTCAGGTGATTTTTAGGTACAGATATTTTTGGTTTGTTTTTTTGCATTGGTATATTTGTATGCTAAATGCTGTATGTAATTTTTGTTACCATTTAAGAAATAGATAAATGGTTTCAAAACTTTGTCAACCAAACTTGCAGATACTTGCTATATAGAAGTATGTGTTAATTCATTTTGTGAAGAGATGTTAGCTCATCATTTCACAGTACTGATCGGGCAAAATCAGTTAAACATATGGTTCTGCCTTTGAGTATTTAAAGTAAAAAAACATTTAATATATTTTTGTGCTATGGGAAATATTCTCATAAGAATAAGTATGCAGAGTACTTCATACAGCAGTTTTTTGTAGTATGGATGATTGTGGCGTTTCCAGTATCAGATAATGATTTTATTTTAAAGAAATGACATTTCACCAGTCCACAAAACTGTCAATAAGTATTCCAAAGAATAACTCCACTTGGTGGTGAAAATTGTAAGGGTGGGTTTCTATATTCCTATAGTGGATTTTAAGTCCACACCTGAATTCTGATGAATTTGAATTCTGCCTGTGGTTAATCTTTTACTTTGAAAATTAATAGCATCTAATATAGCTTGAACATTAACAGAGCAATGTGCAAGCCTCTCTATCCCAACATAATGTTTTAGTCTCCTCCTGCAAGTTACTTTTTAAGGATAAATTATGAATTCCTCCACCAAAATCTAAACATAACATCACATCACGTCCTAGAGGTCTAATGTGCTTTTTGTTGACCCAAGCTGGTTCGAGAGGCATAGGTCAGAGTCTCATACTGTACCCGATGGCTAAATAACACTGCAGGTGTTTCAATATAAGCATTCAAAATCCTCAACGGCAGAGTTAGTCCATTGGGCAGATCCAGAATCGAGAGTGAAACACGAACCTCAGGACACAGTTGGAAAATCCGTGTGCATTTAATACTGAGAACAGGAGGCAGATCTTCACCCAAAGGGCTGTCGTGTTTGGAACAAGCTACTTAGCCATGTTGTCGAAGCAGACACCCTGGTTTCTTTCAAGAAACAGTTGGATGAGTTAGATCCTTGGATCAATTAGCTACCAACTACCAAAGAGGCTAGCCAAGCCAAATGGCTCCCTCTTGTTTGTAACTATTCTTAGGCTCTTATTTTCTTGTACTGTGCCTCCACTGTCTACCAGGCAGATGCAAGTGAACCCAATAGTTACGATTCTATTACGGTTTAATTATTATTGTTTTGCATACCACAATGCCTATTTTCTGGTCTCAACACCCACAGCCTGACCCACTAACTTACTCCCTGGGTAATGTGGGCTTTTGATCTGAGCCTTTGACAGCTTTTCATTCCGCTTTTGCTTTTCAAATACACATCTAAAAGTAATGTGAAACCAGGAGTCATGCTTATCTAACCATAGAAAGGACCACGAAGTTCAGCACTGCTAGGCACCATTAACCTTAAAAACTGCAGCAGGAATGCTTTATGATTGTATAAATGTAAAATGTATATGACTACATTTTTTGTCGGTAGGACTAAAAATTTTCCTGTTTACCGTAAGTATTAAATTTTTCAAACATTCTGTATGACAAGTCAGAAACATTTTCCCTTAAAGGTTAAATGTTCTTTGTTCAAATATACTCTGCATTGGGCAGTCCAGTGTAAATCATGTTAGTTGAGCTGTCTTTCCTTATCTATCACCCCCTAAAGATCCTTTTTTGCTTTTTTCTCCCTTAAATGTCATTGAGGTCTGAAGATGTTAGACAACTCAGGCATGCAAATCTACACATTTTCTTTTAGGCACAGGGATTTTTTCTCCTTTCCTGTTAGTGAGGTGTTTTTTTTTTTCTTAAAATTAAAAGCATTTTCAAACTCTCTTGTACCCTTTTTCTCCCAGAATAATAGCTAAATATAGAAATGGGCATGATTATTTTCTTTACCTTCTCATCTTCAAAAAAAATCCCACACTGGCCATAAATTAAGTGGATTAAAAAGAGATTTTCCTGTTCGTACTTTAATTAACTGCTAACGTGAGACCCCAGAAGATTGTGGAAATTACGCAAAGTAAATGTGAGCTGTAAATCCAGCCCATCTAGCCAGAGGTGTTAGGCTTTCCTTCACTGGAAGTGATGTTGCACTAGGCTGATTCAAGATTGCCAACTTCCATCAGCTCGTTCTGTGATTTGGTGCTGTGATACAGCACAGCCATGAGCAGCAATTACTGGGTTCGCAAATCCCTGTGCTACAGATCTGTAATGTTTCAGTCCAGCTGGGACAAAAAAAAAAAGGTAGTCCCACAAAATCAATAATTCTGCGCACTGTACAGAACCTTTACATCCACAGGATTAAGAGTTTAGCAGAATCTGCTGCCTGGTGTGATACCATCCATTTTTTTTCTCATTTTTTTTTCAATGCTTTATGGCTGCCTCTCATTTGTAACCCTTCTTAGGTTATATTCTCTAGGTTTTTCCTGCCTTTATCTGAAAAGTTTATCTCAAGGCTCTTGTGCCATTCCTCAGCGTTTGGTTGGTTGGCAAAAAATAAGAATTCATTACCTTTGCCAGCAAACTCCATGTTAAAACGATGTCTTCCGAAAACAGCGCAGTCATTTTCCTGCAGTACTCCCATGCCTGCCACATAAATATCAGCCTTCTGTATGACCTTCCATAATGCTCAAGGTTACTTTTTCAGATCTATACAGTATGTACGGTTTTTGTTGGCTAGTTTGCCGTTTTCTCATGTTTTTTTTTCTATGTCAAGGTTGTTCATTTAAAAGTAGCAGGGTTGTGTACTAAATTACATTTAGCAGGTTTCAAGCTGCATCTAGGCAATGGTACTTTTTCATCTGAGGATGGTCTGCAGTGTCATTTTTTTTTTCCTTATGGTGGTTCCCTGCTGAAATAAAATATTTTAATACCTTCTGTGGCTGATTTCTCTGTTATAGATTAAAAGCTCTGAGGTGACGTGTGTGTGTATATATATAGTTAATATTCTAGTGTTTCATTAATTAAATGAAAAAAATAAATTGGTAAAAATTAGGCATGAATATCCAGGAGATTTGAAATTTCTCTAAAGGTTAACAATCAGGAATGATGAAATGGTGAACTTCTCACCTTTTATTGTTCTAGCATGTTGTTTTATTGTGATGCTTTCGTATTCTTCTGTGCTTATCAGACAGAACAGCTCTGATTTGTTTTTTGTGGCTTTTTTTTCTTGTTACTCTAGGTAACTGTTGTAGCAGTGGCAATGGTATCACCAACCAGTGTTCTCTGAATTGCAACTGTTGTTAAATAAAAACCTCTGTATTTTTTTTTTCCTGGGGAAGCTTATACTGTAGCATTGTTCTGGAAACACAAAGTTGCAAATAGTGCGTGGAACTAGACTTCAGCAAATGACAAGCTTATGGAAATCCCTTTTAAAAAATGTCCTTTCTGCTCAATGTATCGTTGTTATGTGATTCTGGGAAAGAGGACTTAAAAAATGGATAATTAGACCGTTTTTAATATGAAGGAAACATTTAATTTGTTATATAAAAGACATCCATCCAGTATGTCCATTAATCTCTCACCTTTCTTGTCTTGTCCTTTCTCCCCCTCTCTCTTTCCGTCCTCTGCTTTTCAGTGCAAGGTCAGAATCTGGTGACGGATAATGTCTCTGTAGTGGAGGGGGAAGTGGCTACCATCAGCTGCAGAGTCAAAAACAACGACGACTCTGTCATTCAGCTTCTCAACCCCAACAGACAAACCATTTACTTCAGGGACGTAAGACGTAAGTGCTGCTTCTCACAACTTCTGTTACTTCCTTCATTTTTTTTTCCTCCAGGAGGTCTTTGAAAATGAGCCGGTATTTCAAAGTATAAATTCCACGGGTGGCGGTTTGTTGTTTTTTTTAAAGTTATGTTGTTATTTGTAATGTGGATTGCCGTTTGTGGATGTTAAGTGAAACAGTCAAATTATCGTGAAATTGTATTCAAATAAAAATGCGGTAGTACTTTTTTTGCATCATAACAGTGGAGCATATGCTACAGGGCTGCTGTGCATCTGAACAGGGAGCTGTTTGGATACTGTTTTGTTTTTAAAGAGAGGTGTTTTGTTTTTGATCACACAGTTCCCAAGATTTGTATAAAGATTTTGATAGGTGCTGTGAAGCATTTATTCCATTTTGTTCGATACGACTGAACCCACAGCCTTTAGAACTCAAGTAAGTGAAGAGCAACCAAAAAGGAGCCGTTGATATAAAGCTTTCATACTGTATCTGAGCCATAATCCAGATTTATTTATTTTTTAAGTTTGTATACTTAAATACTTAAATGAAATTTTAAGTCAATTACCCTGAAAGGGTAATAGCAGGAGCCTAATAGAGGCAGTTCTTCGATTCTGGTGCAGAATTTTCTAGACATTTCTATGTATGTTTTGGTTTAGGTAAGTAGATCATTTCTATATCCAAAGATGCCAGTCCATCACAGGAACTTGCAATTCTGGTCCCCATTTATACTGCTAGGAGGACTGGAATAGCTCTGGAAAAGCACCTCAATCAGGGTACAGCAGCAGCATCTGTGGCAGAGATTTGAACCTGCAACCCCCCAGTTATGAGCCCAGAGATTTACCCACTATACTATTCCATAAAAAGTTGTGCAGAATGGCCACCTCTCATTTAAAACCTTTTTATGTTCCGGTGCTTTGTTATTTGATAAAATCAAATGTTCATAGGACTTAGTGTCACAATGGGTCGACTTTTTTTGGGGGAAAAGTGTATCCTGTGTTTTGGATTAATGTGTTTTTTTTTTTCCTTACAAGATGAGAAGTGGTACAGTCAGATACCGTGTGTCTTACTTACTGTGGAATTGTCTGCAAATTAATAGAAAAAGAATTTGCACAGGACAGTGCTGGAGACCAGGTTGTCGCCATCTCTCCCAGACCCACAGCCAGTGACAATGTCTTATTTTGTTACTTGGATTAGTGTGTCTGCTGAGCAGCCTTTTTTATTTTTTTAACTTTGCAATTATAATAAAGTTCATGCCCTTTACAGCTGGGTCCATATGACATGTATAATTATCCCTTTTCTGCTTAATAAAACCTTGATGGGCTCCTTTAAAGGAAGATGGTCTGGCTTAGTAATCAGAATTGATTGCAGTTATTTGGGATAAATGGCATGTCCACTGGAGCCTCCTGTATTAAACCTGTGAAAACAATACAAATGAGATGAGGAAGAAACCCCGGGAGAAGGAAATAATAAAGAAGGGAAAATCATCTGGAGAGCTATTCTCTTTGTTGATTGTGACTGGAAGTTTGCAATTAGGTTTCCTTAAAGCTTAATTCCATTTGTGAGATGGCTAGGTACTCCATTCCGTCTTTGAGTTCTACCTTTTGAGAATGCTTTGTGCTTTTTTTGTGTGCTGCTAAAATAATTCCTACAACTTTCTGAGTAAAAAACAGCCTAAGAACAAAGTTTTCAGTTATCAGCCACGTAATAATAATGATTAAAAGCCATTTTATTTTTGGCTATGTAATTAGGTTTGTTATGCAGTTTGTTATTCAGTTACTGAAGCATGGATTACATGAAAGAGCAATCCAAAGTCATCCACATTGTTTCCACTGTTGATTTGTTTCGAAAGGGATAGAGAAGTGTGAAAAGAGAACGTGGTAAATGTTTCAGGAGTATAGGCTTTCTAAGATGAGAAACACGTTGATTTAAAATTGAACGTGACAGGTGTATTTATCTTTTTATAAAACTTATAATTTATCATTTAAAATTAATTGAAGCACATCAGCTGCTAAATGAATGACCTGTTTCGCCTGAGTATATTTTGATCATTTCAGTCAGACTATGCAGGCTTTGTCTAAAGATTGCCTGCAGGCCTAATGTTGAAAATTAAAACTTTTCAGAGAGCTCCCCCGTACACAGATCCACAGCATGATACAAACATCCGTTTGAACCTGCTGTAGGAACAATCACTATTGTGGAACTCATTATCGATTTCTGACAGTGAACAAGGAAACACTATGGCTTTTTTTGGGGGGGGGGGTTTAATTGATATGCTGTTTTATTTGTTTAAAAATATGGATTTCTGCTTTTAGGTATGTTGTATTGCTGTTACATCTGTTACCAGCTTTTTGTTTTTGAGATGAATTGAGAGAAGGAGACAGAAGTCTTCCATTTTATACTGCATTTGAGCCAGGGAAGAAAAAGCCTGCAGAAGTGTTTCACCCTGGAGCTTACACATTATTAGAGAGGAAATAACTTCTCTGGAGAGATGCCCAGCCTGCCAGCCATTTCTTATCTTGTTATCTATTATTCTGTCTGATATTTACTGTTGTGTCAGACCCCAATCCAGGCTACACTGGTATTTAACTTTGTGTGTTGTTGTTGTTTTAGGGATTGCCACATTCACAGATCACATTGCCTTATACCTGGATCAGTCTGCCATCTTTTTACTGGACTTAGAATATAATTAAAAGAACTCTTTGTGGGCATAACTGCTCCGTAAAATATTTTAAAAACCTACTCTGTGTTTCCGATCTTAATGGTTGCAATTGTTCAAATGTCCATTAGGGTTCTTGAAAGTGTGCATTTGTATTTGTAAAGATCTGCATGCTCTACAGTAGTGTAAACGCAGTATCCAGGAAGGTCTTCATTCATCTGTCATCAGCCTTGTTCAGGATTGTGGAGCCTGATTTTCAGGCCCCTTTGACACAAGGTGTTTTGTGACAGTCTGATGTAAAAACCTGTAAACGTGCCCAAATAATAGACCAAAAGGTTCCTCCTTTTGGTGCACACACACAGTATACAGTATTATTATGACATAAATCAGGCCCTGTTTACTATTTTGGTGCCCTCCTGATTCAGTTTTAATCCACCACATTAACAAATCGTAGAGTCTTTAGGTCTGATTGATGGAGCATGACAGCCTCTCAAGAAGGAGTCCGACCCCTGCTAGTGGGTCTGTCTAACATGACCCACACATTTAATTAAGACCACGTAATGTCAAGTAGTCCTTTTTACAGGCTGGTAAAACTCAATTTGTGTTTTACGCATTCCAGATAGCGTTTGTTCTGTTTTGTATTTGAGTTTGTACAAACAGTATATATAAATACAAAGCAAGGAAGGCTTAAGTTGAACTTGCAGCCTCACGGTTTTCTTTAGAGCGCAATAAATATTTTATAAAGCACCATAAAATGATAGGGTTGGAGCACTAGGGAGAGAAGGTGTGATTACTGTGTTTAAGGCAGTAATTAGCTGTAAAGGCTCAAGAATTTAACAAGACCGCAGGTAAGAAGAGTTACAAAATCAGGGAGAACCCCCGATTGTACTAGTTCGTTTGTTTGTAGCTCACTGAGCCAAGAAAACTGTTTCCTGATATTTACAAGCTCACCTCCATCAACATCAACAGCTGTAAGCACAACGCTCAAGGATCTACATCCCAACAGAACAAATCTTGTGGTGTGTACTCACAGTCTTCTTGACTTACGAGTTTAGCAAGATTTTCCCTCCACCTGTGTAAGAACAGAATCCCTCCAACAGATGTTGGAGAAATGTTTTGCTCCAACCCCACACTTCTTCTGGGACTGCCCCTTGTGGTGAACAGCACGTCTCTTGCTGTGTGTGAGTGTTCTCTTTCACATGGGCTGCACTGGAGGGACATGTGGGCTGCTCTGGCAAGGGAGGCAGAGATCATTTTGTTTGAAGAATAAACAACAGCCACAAAAGATAGACACCCCACAGTGGGAGACTTTGTGTGCAGAATTAGGACTGCGCAGATTTCTTGAGAAAGTTGTGATAGAATTCTCAAGAAAGAAAATTGAAGCATAATTAAATCTGCTGTACATATGGTGGTATAGCAGCAAAGAGAGTGTGTAGATGGCATACTCGGTTAATACTCTGCCTGAGCTTTTAAATAGTCAGCTGGAGAACAGTGAAAGAAATCTCTTATGGCAGTAAAGGAAAAAATCATTTTGGTGACGCTGACAGCTTGCGTGACCTGGAACGTCGAGACTGGAGGTTCAGATTCCTTGCAAAGCTTCTTTTTTTTTCTCCTTATTTTTTTGGAGCTTGTGATTTTAGAACTGTGGGTTTAGACATGCATGGAGGTTGAGCTTTTAAGATCAAATCTGTCGTTTAGGCAATTGATGCAGACAGCCGCAATGTGGCATACCTTGCTGGTGAGCTGATGGAGATCAGTGGGTTTTTTGGAATGGACGTTCAGGAGAGAAGACAGCCCCGTGTTCATGACCCATGCCTATCTTCGTGCCCAGGTTTATTTTAAATACAAAGGAATAAGCCTTTCCTTTCCCACGTTTCTTGCTAAACATCCTTAGACCTCCCACATCTCTGCCTCTGTGTTCATTTCACAAAGGTGTTTCCAGCGTCTGTTACCTTATCTATAAGTGCAGGCTGTGGGTCTTCCGTCAACTGGGTCTTGATCCGAAGAGTGCTTGTACATGCTTGTGCCCATCTGCAAACAGAAACGGTGTCAAACACATTTAGTTGTGAGCAGTTGTCTGAAACAGTCTGACCCTCAGTGTTGTATTTGAAGTATTTATTGGGTTCTCGTTTTAGAACCCCTGTCAGTCAGTCTTGTGGCACAAAGCAGTCGGAATAGAGAACTGTTTCCCCCAGTTTCCGTTATGACTGGATATGAATTCAGCTCTTGTGCATGCTGTCCATGTGCTTCCCATTAAACCTGACATTATAGTTATTAGTGTTTTTATAATGATTTAATTATTCTCCATCATTTCTACTAGACGTTTGTCACAACAGATTATAAACTGCATCACTGGCATTACACTCATTTTTTTTCTAATCCCTTTGCATTCTTCAATCAATAAATTGAATTAAATCATTAGCTTTTAACTGCCCTCTCCCTGCCAGAGCTATCCCCTGCTTTCATGTCATGTGCTCTAATTAGTCACACTTTCTTCTCATGCTCCTGAAAATGGTGCCACACAGTGCTGAAAAGCAAGGCAAGAAATGGCACATACTGAAAACGGAGTGAAGCCCGTGATGGTGCTTTGAACCAGAGTGCCATTGCTATACAGTACCTTTCAGTCACAAAGTTACATTCTGCCTCAAGCTGCCTATTTCTTTAAGCTTAATTGATTGATTGATTTGTTGTCTATGTATAAACAAATCTCACTGGTGGTTTTTTTTTGTTTTGTTTTTTTGTCTTGCCTGTACCAAACCCGTTTCGCGCCGATGTGTCTCTAATGCATTAATCGGGGATGACACAGGTCTGCACTCCCAAAGCGGTTGTGCTTTGCCCCTGAACTGAACAAACACCTGTTACATTTATCACGGTGCCGCTTATGAGCAGGACCCTTATCAGAACTCCTCACAGATGTGCTCTGTTTCACCAAGAAAACAAAAAAGCAAGAATCTGTTCTGTTTCCTAAGATTACAGTTTCATTCAGGATGGCAAAAATATGAAGTGCTTCTATTTCCAGTATGTCTCCTGGCCTTTCTAACAATTCCCCATCTGAACTTTTTTTAGCATAAATGCTTAGGAGCATTACAAACCAGCAGGGACATAGATCAGTCAAACCTGCTCACCATCAGACAGAGATTTCTAGAACACACAGCTTCAAATACTCTAATGCACTGTAATGATGTCGTTTTTTTAGGCTTTTTCTTTTAGCTCTGTTGCTCATATTTTAAATTAGGAAATCAAAGGGACCTGACAGAAAGGCTTTGGACGTACCTTTCAGCTCCCTTAAGCCGTTTCACATCACATCTGAGAGAAGCACACTGGTAACACTGTCTTGAAGTTGTAAATACTTCATGTTGGCTACATTTCAATTTCTGAGTTGTTTAGTGTTGGCCTTTCATCTTATGTATAGACTGTGTTCATTGAGGGTTGTAGTTACAAGCAAAATACGATATTTTCTCTGAGACAAATCTGTCTCACATTTATTTTTGAAGGGATTTACACAAAGAAAGTAACGAGTTTTACACTTCCTAATTAATACAGAGCCCTAGAACTAAGGATACGATGACAAAATTAGATTTGTGTTTAGGATATAGTTTATTTTGTGCTGCCAGATATTCAGATGTAATTTTGTGCTGTGAAAAACAGACATACTGTATGTCATGAAAGTTACATTGACCTTTTATGAGGTCTGTCATAATCACTATTCATGTACCTGTCCATCATCATCATTGTCCAAGTTCACTGCCATCCATCAACATATTGGAAAGGAGAGGACTTCTGTTTAGCTTTTTTATTCATCCTTATTATTAACAAGTATTATTTTTATCTCATTGTGATATTTTGTGTATTGGATGTTGTCATTGGTATTTTATGTGTGCATTAATTCTCGATGTTCTCCTTGTTTCCTGTCTGTTCTGCCATTTTGTATCAGATTGCAGACTCTGACTCTGTTAAATGGAGTCTGACCTGTCCATCAAGAGGACTCAAGGGTGCTGCTTAGTGTATTTAACCTGGCCGTCACACTGTAGAGTTAGTCATTCTCTCTCTTTAGTTAATAAAACCTGGTCTGTATAACATAAAACAGGCTGAGCTTAGGCCTCTCAATACTGTTAGTGGGGAATTTTCTGTTAAACTACAGTTAGGCTATATTTGTAGGATGTTTGTCCTCTTTTCGGTTTTTGCACTTCATATTTGTCCCCTGCCTATTTTTTTTGTGACTTCTGCAATCACCCTAGATTTAAACAGCAAGTGGTTTAGTCACTACAAAAAAAATCCCTGAAATTGTACCTTTGGCTGCCCAGGGTAAGTGGCGCATCAGTTAGCAGGGCAACAGTGCAAAGAGTCGATTTTCCTACCCTAACGCCTGGATGCACAGATGAGAATCTGGTTCCCTCTGACTGGTCCTCATCCAGAACTGGAACTTAGACATGATGTCTGTGGGAAACAGCTTAAGGAACAGAAAATGTTTGGTTGTATGTGGTATATGTCTGAAATTCAGATATTTATTGCCTTTTTTTTCTCTTGTTTAATCTCACGACAGCCCTGAAGGACAGCCGGTTTCAGCTGGTGAACTTCTCAGACAATGAGCTACGAGTGTCGTTGTCCAACGTGTCCCTCTCTGATGAAGGGAGATATGTGTGCCAGCTCTACACTGACCCCCCACAGGAAGCCTATGCTGATTTAACAGTGCTGGGTAGGATGTCTTCATTTTTTTCCCCTTTTTATGCAAAACCTAATTCAAAGGAAAGACAAGGGTCTTTGGATCCAGAAATAAAAGTGTGAACTGTGGCCAATGGAAATTCTCGTGACATGTTGAAGTGTGTGTGATTTGTATACTGGAAATTTTTTTTTGGGGGGGGGAATGTGACTTCTTGGTCTCTAAATTTTCCAAAGCACTGACAGTATATACTGTACGTACATACTTTATCAGCCAACGTGAAAAGTTATTCCAAGGAGAAGCAATAAAGTTAATTTCTTGTTAATTAGGGCAGGACATATTATCACGAGGTCAGATGTTTCTTAAACCTTTCTTATATTTTTGTAAAGGGTGTTGACATCACATTACACAATCCACACAATCTTTCTTAAATTGGTGAGCTACTATGTTCCCAGAAGAGGTGTAGTTTTTCACCTGTCTTCGTTTTTAAGGAGCTGTCAGCAGTAGTTAACTGAGTACACCTAAAGAGCAGATTGTAATTTTTTATTAACTTCTTTGTCAAAAAGTTCCCTGGTTACTTTGCTTTTTCAAGTTGTCATCAGCTTGAATTTTAAATAGGAAGAAAATAACATTTAAATTATTCCACCCACATAATGTTATTTGTTCCAGCACTATGAAGGCGATAGGAATGTAAATAGAGAATTTCACACAAATATTTTCACAACATGGATGAACAGTGACTCTCTGCACAACCTGTGAAGTCCAGAAGTAATTTCCAATAACAGAATGAGGTCTGCCAATCACACCTAATCCTGGGACAGATCTTGCAGTATGTGATTGACAGTACTTAGATCAGTTAGGAAAGCTAAGTTTGGCAATTACACTGATCTGTGAAATCTTTTGGAATTATCAAGTCGGGGCCACAGCAGATGATGTCCTGCAATGCTTCAGCTGTTCTGCACAGTTTGGGAAGAAATCGCCCTGCTACCAAAAATAGTTAAAACAATTGAGACACGTGCTTGAAGACAATCAAAAACGCCTCCCCCGGGTGTTTGTTACTCAGGTCCTGCAACTGAAACAAATATCTGTGTCCTTGTTATGTGTAATACTGGAAATAGTGGTGGAAACAAAAATGAGGGAAAATAATGCAAATGGCACATCATAGGTTAACATCTTTTTGAAAAAGTGAAACGTTCTTTAACACAGAATCGTACGTCCAAGAACCCCATCAGAAAGTGCAACAACAGCTCAAAGCTTATATAAGTACAGGCAGTGATTACATTGCAGAGTTTTAAACATGTGGCAAAAACTATGGCTCACACAACAACCACCTGTATATAAGTTAAAGGTTTAGCTAATGAAGGGCTCTCACGTCCGCAGATGGCTCCCAACCTCCTTGTTGTGTTTGAGATTCCGGGGAGTGTTTGTGATGCTGGTAGTCTTGACAATAGGAATACCTGACGATGAAAACCCAGACTTCACAAAATCAGTAGATGTCAGATTCAATACAGTGAATACTCTGCTTGATAGGATAAATCTGCAGGTACTGGGGGGTGACTCAGATTTGAGAAACAGTTGGATAAATATTAGGGAAAAGGGTGTCAATGAGTACAAAGCTACTCAGAAAGCATTGTTGAGGAGAGGCATCAAAACAGGGGGCTGAAATGAAACAGGGGATAATCAGACCTGCGACGAGATGGTCCTTACGGACAAGTCCAACTCTGAGCCGTCTGGAAATAATCAATGACGGGTGTTTCATAGTAAAACTGGACATTGTTGTAACAGTCAGTATGCAGCAGCCATGGAAGAAATGGAAAATGTGGGAACTGTTAAAGGATATTTGGTATACTGTTACACTGTCCTTCACCGAGAAACATATGTAAGCATAAAAACAAGAGGGTGGCATGGTGGTGCAGTGGTAAGCCTTGCATCCTCGCAGTGCCGTGGCCCTGGGTTCAGTTCCTGGGGTGCTGTCTGCGTGGAGTTTGCACGTTCTCCCCGTGTTTGTGTGGGTTCCCTCCGGCTGCTCTGATTCCTTTTTACAGTCTGTAGACGTGCTGGTTGGTTAATTGGCTTCTGAGGGAATTGTCCCAGGTGTGTCTGTGTGTGCCCTGTGATGGACCAAGTCCTGTCCAGGATGTACTGTGTTCTGCTTTGAGCCTGTTGCTTGCAGGGATAGGCTCTGGCTCCCCTGTGGCCCTGTACTGGGTAAAGCAGTGAGAAGATTGATATAAAACAAAATGTCAATGGTTTAGAAAACAAAAACCTATGCAAAATACTAGTTACCTGAACAAGACATTAATTTCCAAATTCTTTCCATATTTTTAATGCATTCATTGGAAAATGGAAGTATTTTAAATCTTCTCGGTTAAAATTATTTGCTTTATGTAACTCACTTTTATTTACATAATTATTTCCAATACTATAAAAGACCAGGACTATTTTGAACATGTGCGTGAAAATACAAAATGTCCATGCTTTGAAATGTCTGTTAAATGCACTTAACAATGATTATTCATAAAGCCCCTTTCTCCTGTTGTGTTTCTGAATGTGAACTGGTCAGCAGGAATTCAGATCTGAGGGTTTAATTATATCCTTTTGATGTTTCAAAGGTCTTAAAAGAACCTTTAATTTAATTACTCCTATTTGGAGCATGCCCCTGCCCTCCATTCTGTTAATGTGTACGTCAAAAAGAAACTCCTGTGTTCTGATAACTCCTTTAAAAAAGCACTTAGTGGATTTTCAAGATGTGAACTCTCTCTGAACTCTCACAAAACAGTCTTGTCAGACAGTGGTTGTAAAAGGAGTGTTATGATTTCTGAAGGCCAGAGATTTTGACAACTAAAACCCACTTTTCTCTTTTCTTTAAATATCACTTGCATATATTCAGAGCCAGCAGAAGAGGCAATATCATCCTATTAGACTGGGCTGGAAGATGAGATGTAGCGCTTATCAAGTCGGGGTGTCTGAGAAGTTCATTTTGTGCTACGGCTTTGAAAATGCTGAAGTGTTTGAGAGGAGATGGGATTATTTGGAGGTCATTTGTTGGAGTCAAGCAAGTGACGTGAACCAGCTTCAATGTTTTCATTGTTGCAAATCCTAAGACCCCTGAAGTGTACTGTATGCGGGGCAACGCTATGCAAATGGCAGAATAAGTTAATTACTCTCTCCTGTATGAATAATCAGAATCCACATTCAAGAAAGTGGTTAACGTACTAATATAGGCCAGCATAAAAACAATTTGAGCTCTAGCTTGAGCGATGAGATCGTCTTCTGAAGCAGCCCAGTTTCCGGTGAGGTGTGGCCAGTCCCATTGTAACCTGCAGTGCTGGCATCTCCTCTTAGCAAAGTCCCGTCTGCTAGGATTGGGGTTGAGCCCCGCTCAGTACTGCCGCCATCCGGCTTTCTCATCCCACTGCTGCTTGTCTGGTGTCAGTCCCGCCAGGCAACCCCATCATCGAGTCCCGGGAGGACATCGTCAGCGAAGGGAATGAGACGGAGATCATCTGCTCTGCCATCGGAAGCAAGCCCGCCTCCAAAATCAGATGGATGAAGGGAGGCAAAGAACTGCAAGGTTGGTAAAAAAAAATCTCACTGTGCGTATTCATTTTCGTTGAGTTTTTTTTTATGGTTTGCTCTTTGTAAAGGAGCAGCTCGCCAGTGGCACTTACCGTTAAAAAGGGGTTTCTCTCTTTGTTACTTTGTTGTGTTTATGATAATGTACGTAATAATTTTGTTAGCCAAAAAAATCATCCCATGGTTTCGTCTAAAACAAGATACCATTAAAATCGGCGAATTATCCCAGTGAGCAGTCTGGCTGTAGTGTATGTGGAAAACAAAAAACGCCATCATTGCTCCCACCCTGTAGATTCTGCCCACATTATTGGAGCTGACTGTTTGGGCTGTTGTGAAAGGCTTTAACTACCATATTTTAATCTGCTCGTAAATTTATTCTCACATTAAGCGGCAGGGAGTAACAGCTCAATGATGCTCTCAGGGACAGGTTGATGGCTTAGATTATGAATCTTCCATTACTGTTGTGTTTGATCAGATCAAGGTGCCAGCAAGTACCAAAACTGCATATAATCTTAGAAGTAATGTGTTAATCCTCATAATCCTTTACTATAAAGGACACATGGCAGTTGTTAATACTTCAATTAATTATTAAGTCTTAATAATATTTAGTTTTTATCTTTTCTCCCCGTATGATTTTAATCTGAGGTGCAAAATAAATCTCAGATTAAGACTATGTCAATTTCCTGAGTGGGCGTCCGAAGGCCCCAAGAGATTGACCATGGACTTGTGTTTTCTCTATGCAGTGAGTTTATTAGTGAGTATTGGAGTTTAATTGAGTACAGAGAAGAGAGCCATTTTCAACTCCTGACATTGCTATTCAGAAAGCCAACACTCAGAGGCAATAAATTGCTTTTGGCCTTCCTGCTGGGTGGATCTATTTTTAATTAAACATTTTCATCATTCAACCTAATTACCTTTTGGATATTTAAGCTTTTCAAATATCATTTAAAGGTTACACCAACTTAACTTGGTAGTGTACACACAGACACCCTACAATGTAAAGCCAGTTAGTCCATCATTATTTATTCTTTCTTATCTGGCTTGTTTTTGGTCATGTTTTAATATTTTCTTTTTCCCCTTTTTTTTCGTTCTGAAAACTTCACGCTTAAGGCGCATGTTGAATGAAAGCCAAGAAGCAGAGGGTTTTAACTTTGCTTAACCAGCTCCAGGATTAATCCGCAGCGTGTGCAATGATTTTGAACAGGCCAGGTGTCACAAATCTGAAAAAAAGTAGCAGTGGGTTCACTCAAATTTGAATAACAGTTGTTGAGGCTTCCTAACCCTTAGAGAGAACCTTATGTCCTTGGTCAGCTTTAGAGGATATTAGCTGTCAGAGATGCCAAAAATTGGAATAGGGATAGAAGCACTGGAGCTCTGTAAAGCACAGGAAATACTGTGATAATAGCCTGTTAACCCGAACTATGAGTAGTGCTAGACAGCCCTGAAGACTAGACTTTATGGTTTTTGACTAATTTTCCATGTGGATACACCCCACTTTATGAAGACGATGAATCTCATGGGACATTTGTGTGTTCAGAAATGTATTCATTTGACCTAGTGAGCACCAGTAGGGCACTCTCTGGCACGTTGAGCAGTTGTTGTCTCTGGAGATATCTGACTGCTGACTGTGCAGCCCAGTCGTGGTCTTTAACTCTCTTACAGTGCTTGACTTCCTCATTCTGATGTCTTTTGTAAACTTTGGCCTTTCCCAGATATTATTTCTTTACCTTGAGTTCATTCAGGGGCCATTTTTATGAGTCTGGTGTCTGACATCTGGATGATATGACCAGCCCAATGCAGCTTATGGTGGATGTTCACTGCATATGGTGCCTATTTGAGAGCACTGATGTTGACAGGTCTGTCCTCCATCTTGATACTTTAAATCATCCATAAATGCCAAGTCCTTCTTAATCTGTCCTCCCCTTCCTTAGTTCTCAGATGGACTAGTCCTTGGGTACTCAGGCTGTAAACAGTTAATATGGCCTTGAAGGGAGTCAAGGCTATTGTTTGCAATATGTTGAATTTTTGTTGGTGGGTCAGCGTCGTCTGTGTGGAGTTTCGGTCACTCTGCCATGCACAGAAAGTCTTGTGCTTGTGATCAGTAAGCTCTTTGATCATCTAGTCATTTTTATCAAACCAGTCCTGGTGTTTCCATGTATAAATTCTAAGCCAAGGTCTCTTTGCAGGCATTGGTGACATTTGGTTGAATTCTTATCAAGTGATTTTCTTTTGTTTGAGACATGATGCATAGAGTTTTTCCCTGTTGTATTCCTGAAAGTGTTTTGTTTTGGTTGGATATTTCAGTACTTCGATATTGATATTTCATAGGCAAGGATTAGGGCCAGCTTGATATACATAATATGTTGCTCTAGTGGGTTAATAATGTATTGATTTGTAATTTCAGGCACAGAATCTGAAATATTCAGTCACATGCCAGTGTTTAGACAATGAATGTCCCCAGGTTTTGTTTCCATTCATCAGGCAAATCAGTGAGTTGTTGTTGCCAAGCCTAATGTTCAGTGCGCTTGATAAGGTGGAGAGTGTTGTTTGGGTTGATGTTTTCCACAAAGAATTGTCTGGCAGGTCTGGCATAGAAATCTTCTATGTGTATTTTGTCTCATAGGTCCTATTCAGAATTCACATAGGCATGTTGGTCCCCTGCTAAAGTGAGAGTCATGAGGCCTTAATTAATTCTAATAGGCAACTGTAAATGTTGACACTAGCTAGATGTTGAACATTGTCTCTAGATCCTGACACACGTCGATAGCACCTCAATAGCTGTAACAATATATTGAGTGGTGGATCTGTTTTTTGCTGTTGTTTCAATAAAGCTGTTCTTCATCAAAGATGCAGATCAGATCAGATCAGCTCAGCGAGAAATATAACTGGATTGGGGTAGATTCTGTTTCCTTCTAAGATGTTTGTAATGTATGTAAATTCCATCAGATTTCAGTGGAAAGCAATGTTGTGTTGCAAGAAGGAATAGCCACCTACTTCACCATTATAATATTCATATTCTTTTCCCCCATGATCTTTCATTGTTTGAAAGCCACCTGTCCTGCCTGATGGCAATAATTTAGTTGTTTCATTCATATATGTTAATAAATGTCCTTGTCATGCATAAGTCTCATCGTATCAACTAGATTTATCCTTATTACTTTTTGTTTAAGCACAATCTGTTGAAAAACAGCTGTTGGTATATCTTTGTGTTATGTTTTGTGATTAAAAGATGAAACTGTCATCCAGTTTATCTTGTTTCTTCCTTTGGGTTTATGCACCAGACCATGTGACAGAGGCAAACGTGAGTTTTCTCAAAGGATCAAGCAGAAATACAGTTAAACTGGGCAGCGGAACTGCATCTCCAGAAGCAGTGGTGTCAATTATCCAGTGTCCTCTGCAGATTTAAAACCCTTTTACCTGAAGTGACCTATGTGGATTAACCTATTCCAGAGTGGAATATGAATTGAAGTTAAATAAATACTTGATAAGTCAAAAGCATGTAAGATAAACCTTAAAGTTGATTTAATTACTGAATGTAGGAAGGTGGGCCAGGAGGATTTGTTATGACCTTGACTCTAGGCTTCTTCATTTCTGAAGGCTTTGTTTCCACAGACTTGTGATTTGAAAGCACCTGCACTAAACATTAAGCCAGCAGGTCACTTTGATGCAGAAAGCTAGCAGATAAACCTAGGGCATTATTTTGTATTAATAATAATTATTATTAATTGTTATTATATTAATAATTATTATTATTAAATATTATTTAATACTCTAGTGTAGAGTACTATTTGTCTTTTTAGTTGTTCAGTGCACGGTGGAGAAAGCTGCTTTAACTCCAAGGTGAATCTATTAACTTTATACAGTACATTGCAAAACTATTCAGACCCATGCTTCATCTTCACATTTTGCTGCTTTCATGACACTTTGAAGTAGCAATTAACCTCTTGTGTATATTTGTGGTATACATAACATATTCCTCATATTCAAATAAAAAAAACAAAAGGAAATCGTCATTATGAAAGAAAAATAAAAAGTCATGATTGCATAACTGTTCTTAGCTTTTACTGTGGCAAATCTACATTAATTTAGACACACCCAATTACTTAATGCACCACACAGTTGCATCTGTTCTGTGTGCAATAATTCATATGATTTGAGAATAATTGCAAGCAAAGATGCAACCATGAAAACCATGAAGCTTTCAAAGATTACAGATCAAGAAAAATGAACAACAGCATTCAAAGACCGTCTTTATGTCTGATGGTTGAGATGAAAGTTGATTATTCAGGACTGGAATGTATGTCAAGCTGCAAAGACACTGCCCAGTTTTTGATCTCCTTCCTTACAATGCATTTTGTAATGCAAGTTTGCAACAAAGCTGATACTGCAAACTGCCAAAAGGCTTTGCGATCAGACAAATTGGAACTTTCTGGTCTAAATGGAAAGCATTACATCTGACACAAACTCAGCATAGTATGGTACATCACTCCGTCAACACCATCCTCTGTCAAGCGTAGGGATAGCAGCATTATGTCATACAGTAGTTCTATTTCTGATTCGCGGGGACAGGAAAGTTTGTCAAGACTGATGGGAACATGCATTGATAAAATACTGGCAAGTCCTATAGGAAAACCTGCTTCAGATGTAAAACTGGGACAAAAAGTCCCCTTTCAGCAGGACAGTGATCCAAAGCACAAGGCCAGAAATACACTGGAGTGGCTTAAGAATAAAAAGTGAGTCCTGAGTACAAAAGTTGGTGGAGACTTGAAGCTATAATTAGTGCCTGTGGTTTTACGGGTCTGAATACTCAAGAAATCAACATTTTTAAGTTTTTTTCCCTCTTTACTTTTTGCTGACTTTAACTTTAAAACATGATTTAAAAGTTTTAAAAAATATGCATGCATCATTTTATAATTCTACAAAATGGAACACCGGAACACGGAAGGATCTGAAATCCTTTGTAACGCACTGTATACTATATTATCACACCTGAAGAAGGCTCCACGGCCGAAACGTTGTGTTCTCTTCTTCTTTTTTCAGCATGGAATAAACCTATTACTTGTTCCTTTGCAGCCTACGCATGCTGACGCAGCTACCCACCTGAACTACTATATTAGTAGATTTAAAAGCACCAACAGCCTACTTTAATAGTGCATTTAAGCAAGAATCGGCAATTATCTTAGGCCTGTATTCTTAAACAAATGGTCATTTGGTGGCACTTTATTTTAAAAATACCATGCTTAAAACAAAGATGTGTTTAAGGCAGTGGTTTCAAGTCCTGGTCCTGGTGATCCACACACCTGTTGGTTTTTGTTGCAACCGAGCCCTCAGCTACACAATCACACCCTTCATCACTCTGTTCTCCTCCCCACTGATAGCTGATGTGTGGTGAGCATACTGTGTGGTAGAACATACACTAGTTTCCACATGTATTTGTTTAAAATTTGCAGTGTGCAGCATGTCTCATCACACATAATGAGTTGCGCTGTTACAGTTGGATTATTCCTGTCATAATTTCTTTCATAATTCCTGTCCTTTTTGTTCGTATACCTTTCCCAGATAGGTCTTTATTAAATGTCTAATAAATGTCTTTATTAGACATTTTGTCCAGAAGGAAAAATGTAAAACTTAGATATTTCAGTCTTTTATGATGATTTAATTATTAGGCGCTTCTTTCTTGTGGGGATCACTGCTCCTGAATGATGGTATCCTTACACATTTTGCACTGAAAATACAATGACAAAGTAACCCTCGGTTTTTTAAGGGGAGAGCAGAAGGCGGCTGCTGCCTCCTCAGCAGAAATTAAATCACGGTGTAATTAGATTAGCTTGGTTTGCACATAGATAGACCAAAAACTGCACTAGTGCTGGTGGACAGATGGCCCACAATCTACAGCAGATTTCTTGTTCTTTTAAAATTTAGTTCAGGAAAAAAAGTCTGACCTCCTAATTCTATTTAATAGATCCTTAGTTTGCCACTTCCCTTGGGTATTGCACAAGTACGTTTTTGTTGTACAGTGTTTCTTACAGGTGGTGGAGTAAGTGTGTGGACATGTCACACTTGAAGATTGTGGCAACCTACTTTTTCACTGCTTGGTTGACTGCTTTTCTCACAGTGATACCCCCTGAGTGATTGAGGTGCTGTACTGTAAATTTGGGGATCAGACTGTGATAAATGTGATTGTTTCTTGGTAAATAATATGCAGTTCTGTATCAAAGGGAGGTTTATCATTTTTCATCAGCATAGGCATGAAATATGTGTCACAGTCTTTGAAGCCTGACCTTTATAGAGTGAAATATATAATACAAAGTTTTCAGTGCCATAGTTGCTGAAACTGTGTAGCTGTTTCAAAGGAAGGGAGTATTTCAGCAGTGTTTGATAATTTAAATGTCTTTTTGAGGGAAAAAAGGTGATCAAGTCTCAACATCAACAAAGAAAACAGATCTGTATTAGTTTTTGGCTTGTTAAGGCAAGGCTAAAGCATAAAGTTATTTGCACGGGTTAGATATCAGAAATAAAACATGTTTCCATTAGACAATAATTTTACACTCAAAGCTGTGAAATTTGTCTAATCTAATTAATGAAGTCAGTAGCTGACTAAACCCTAATAAACAGATTGCTTTTTCACTAAAAATATACTGTGTTCTGTATAGATATAAATGCAGAGCAGGGTCAATGCATTTTAAGTTTCTGGTTTCACCTGCTGAACTTTCCGGCCCTAGGGATAACGTTAATATAAGCAAGCTACAATACCTTGAGGCTCATTATTCCTGTAAAACGCTACAGTTTGTAATGCTCTGTGTGGTTAAGTCATATTTTCAACTGTCACATTGTGCTTTACATATTCTCTTAATTGCCGAAGCAGAAACTCTTACGTTATCTTATTAATTAATGATTAATTAGTACTTTTCTTGATCTTGAAGCACTGCACGTTGGGCTCATTAGAAACTTTAAATCATTAAATAAATCTGTACATATGTTTTAGAGTGCTAAGTTGCCATACACTTGTATGCTTATGTCAACAACTTAGTTAATCATATGCATATGTAAACTAAGAAGATTTCATGCCATGCATTAATATGAGAATAGTGAAGCAGTATAATTATATTGTATCATCCATGAAGCCCCCTAGCCACGGTAACAATTGAATATTCTTGTCTTGAACATAATGCATGTTCAAATAACCACATGAGCACAGGCAGAGTGCGATGATCTCTGCAACCTGGCACTCCAGTCCCAATGAATACATCAGTGAAACAGGCCTGCTTATTAAACATGCCAAATCATTCTTGCATTTGAAATTGAATGCAAGTTCAGTGTAAGTTCAGATTGCCCACTGCAGGGGTTTTGAGTCCAGTTTGATCTAGACTGATTACAGTTATGAAGTGGCAATGTCGTCGTCTGCTACATATTCACAATCTGGTGCTGTGCATTCCTATTGTTCAACGTTCTCCAACCCTGCTCCTACAGAGCCCGTATATAGAGGGTTTTATACAAAACCGTTTAACCAGCAATTTCAAAGGGCTTGAAAAAAATGGCTTGCGATCAATTGCAGGCGATTTGTAAATTAAGTCATTTACAGATGATTTGAAACAAATTCTCCAGCCTTCGAGGTGAAAATTACCCTTAATTACAGAAATTGCTCAGTTGATCAATATCCTACATTTCTTGTCTTAGGAGATAAACGTTTTTGGGGGCTGACCTGTGGTTGACTGGGGCTTTGTAGGTCTGGTCTCGGAGACCTTTCCTATAATTCCTTCTCATTCGGCTGGAATCTCTCTGGACGATCTGGGCCTGACTTCCATCTCAGCTAACCATTATTATGTTATCATCCTGTACAACACTGCATAGATAAAACGGCTGTGGGTACTGTTGTTTTAAGAAATTTAACTTGTTGTGGAAAGATAATATTAGCAAGAAATAGTTCATAATTTGTTTTGCTTACTGTGTAGAGACAGACACAGTACATCTGTATGAATGTGGTTCATGTGTTATACTGTACCACAAGGACAGTGAGGTAAATACTGAAAAGAATATAATTTATATTTTGGTAATGTTCTTATGTGTACATCACGCTCAGTGATACTGAGGCTTTTACATTGCAGGTCAGTGTCTTGAAATGCAGCCATCATACAGTATCTCAGTTCATAAAGCCCAGATAAACCGTCATATGCAAGGAAGCAAATGATTGTCTCACAAATAATAGCTCTTGACAGGAAGCAATTTTGAACTGATATCCTTCCATTGACCTCTGAATTCTTCAGTGGAAACCCATTATTTACCGTATCAAGCAAGCCATTGCTCCTAAACCTCAAGGTCTTAAGTACTCTTTTTTCCCCATTGTTGTGTTTCTGAACTACTCTGTGTCCGAGATTTTATTATTTAAACTTACGCCAGGCGGAAAGACTCGTTGTATCCTTGGTATCGTATCCAGTACACTTTACACCAGTCAGTCAGAAATATTTGCTTAGATTTAGGTTAAGAGTAGGGTTTGTGTTAGGGGTGGAGAACTAAACAAGTTTGTTGTGCACTCAGATGTGCTAGTGGCTACCGTCCCCCAAAGTTTACGTGAGACCTATTTTTCAGAGTATGACTTAGAACGTTTCTCATCCATAAACAATGTGTACATTTCTCTCAGCATGAAAGGGTAACATCCCATGAGAAGATGAGTAATGTAGCTTGTCCTGTGTAACTGGATCAACAGGGCCGGATTGATGGTGGTTTTATTCACAGGGTTATCATGGTGTCTTTAGAAGCACCGCATATGTGATTATAAGTGTGTTTCTCATTCTGGGGTTTTCGCACTGAACCAGAAGTTTTGTATAGCACCTTTCCTCAAAGCAAAGAAAAGTAATGCAGAACAAAACTGAAATTGATCCAGCTGTCATATATGAAGCTATAATCCTACCACTTAAGTGCAAGTGTTCAGTGGAAAAGCTTAACTGAGCCAATTGCTTCTTGGGAAGCACAATGTAAAATGAATCCACATCAAGTATTTTTTTTTTGTTATCAATTCCATTACTCCTATTGTTATTGCCCATTTATTTGGCTGACACTTTTATACAAAGTGACTTTCATTTGCACCCATTTATACAGCTGGGTATGTTACTTGAAACGTTCAAATCAAGTGTCTTGCTCAAAGGCACTACAGCCCTGTCTCACCTGGGTTTTGAACCCCAAACCTTCTGGTTTTTGGAATCCCGCACCCTAACAGTTGCTCCATACTGCTGTCCTGTAACTATTGTGTTCTTCTTTGTTCTCCAGGCGAATCAGTGGTGGAGGAAATGGAGGACAAGATGTTCACCGTGACAAGTACTCTGACACTCACTGTCAGCAAGGAGGATGACGGAGTCCCCATCATCTGCATGCTCGACCACCCTGCAGTCAAAGACTTCCAAGCACAGAAGTATTTAGAAGTGCTGTGTGAGTATTGACTTGGCTCAAATCTCTGATTGTGCTCCAGGCGGACTGCATTTTTTTTGTTGTCTTTGAAAACAAAGAAATCACCCGGCTACCGAACTTCTCTCCTTGCATCTGGTAGCAGCTCTGTCAGAAAGTGGACAAGCTTATTAGTCTTAATTGAATTCAAATTAGTTAAGATCAGACTCTTTGCCAGTTGGAAACAAAGCACTCAGGACACTGTTCCAGAGCCTGGGGGCATGGCAGGTTTTGTGAGGCTTTTTTCTTTGAAAGAAATCCTAGAGTAAAAAGGCTGCAGTAAGCGAGATAAATAGTTCAGTTATACTCCATATTAAATGGCTTTCTCTCTTATGGCTTTATCGATTAAAAGTAAAGTCTTAAAATACAGTGTGTACGTGGCATAGCGCAGGAGCTGAATGAAAGGTTAACAAACCCTTTCTGCCATTTGTAGCACATTCATTTATTCTTAAAAGAAAGAAGCTTCGCCTGACCTTTCTGGATAAAAGACAGGAAAGATCAGTTCATCTGCAGCAACTTGACATTTTAGCAATCTTGGATAAAAGTGGATTAAAAAAGAAAACATTTCCTGTACTGTAAAATTACGGATCTGGATTCACAGGTGTTGTGATTAAAAAAAAACAGATTTCTGCTGAAGACTGGCTCTGCCATGGAAATACCCTTTCTTCAGCCGTATAATACCAACACATTTAAGAATTAAAGCAATTTCTTGTTGAGCTGTTGATTTAATGTTTGTATTGCTAGATGTTGTAAATATGAGCAAAAGGTGACACTATTGATGAAAATGAGTTGATGATACTGCTTGGTATTTCAGTGCCCCCAGGGCCCTTTGTAAAGCTGAGTTGGGCAGACAACTCTACAGTACCACTTCAGTTGTCAAATAATAAAAGAGAGTCTAATAAACAGCAGCATATTTGTGAAAAAGTAACTTGCCCAGAATAAGTTTTTTTTTTTCTGGATCTGAACATCAGTAAACTATCTTTAGTGTGTTATAACTGCATGCATAATGCATAAACTCTGTTTCAGGAGCTGAGGCAGATGTACAATAAAACATATTGAACATTTTGCGCCTCTCGTGTCATGAAATTCGAGAAGACAGAAAGAAACCCATTCTCATAGAGTTAGGGCTCAAAACTAATTATCCAGTTTTTTGTACAGGATCTCGGTTGAAAGTCAAAACTTTAAACACGAATTTAAAACGTATCTTGGCTTTAACGTTTTCCTGATTACAAGGCAAAATGTCCTTCTTCCTGTTGTCAATCACTGTTAGAAAAAAACATCACTGTTTCAGTTCCCAGCAGGCTGTAATTTATAGGCCCGGATAGCTAACAGATTATTATTTGTTGACCATAAAGGTCGAATAGGAACATATTGGGTGAGCAATTTGATGACATATTTACAGATCAAACCACTTTATATGTCAGCAGTAAAGTTTTGAAAGAAATGCTCTGCTGGAAAAATATGGAATGAAGTGTCTTTTATTTACAAAGGGTTAAAAAAATGCAGTAGAAGGTAGGCATCCCGAGGTGAAATTACTATTATATAATAAGGGCAACAATGAAAAATTATTCATGTGTCATACATGAAAATAAAAGCAACACCAAATAAAGTTATGTAGTACAGTAGGAATAACTTGGTTTAAAGCAGCCTGTTTTTCCTGAATAATCCTATAGATCTTTACAATTAGGAGGAACCCCATTACTCAATTGCTGCACACTGTGGAGTTCAGCAGCCATTTTGAGCTTGCTGCTGAATATACTGTACAGCTGCAAATGTGGAAAGTGAAGAAGTACTTAACTGCTTAAACTAGAGAAGGACATCTTAGTAAAGCCAAATCAAGGATGCCTGAACTGGAATTTAGCCAATTCTTGTGCTAGAATTTAAAATAAGAGTTTGCTGCACTCAGAACGATGAGCTGTGAGAGGCCTGCATTACAGGGAGATGACAAGAGTCTTAGTGAGAGGCAAAGATCAGCAGCTACATTAGCATGACATCCTGCATCATTTTTATTGCCTTCTTTTTTGGAGACTTACAGTACTGTTGTTGTAAACCTCCTCAAGTCTGATCAGCTCCACTTAATGGCAGAGCTTTGCTTTTATGAGCACTGGATTACTTTCCACTTGGGATTTTATATACAGGCTCATTAATAAACCTTAGTGTCAGAGCACAACCTGAAAGAAGGACCATGTGCTAGCTTGCTCCTTTTTTCCATTTAGTTGTTTTTTTTGTCTTGCTCTCATTAGCAGTCTTGGCAACATTCAAGCATCCCTTTCTGAATGCTCTGGGAACTCCTCAAATACGCAGCTCCTACCAAACAGACAAGATAGATGCTGATTAGCATTTGCTTATAGTATCCAAGATTAACAGAAAAAAACACCCTTGGCAAATACTACAGATGTTCAGATCGCCAGGGTGTGAATTTCAGGGGTGGGCTTGATCTCTTGTATAAGTCTGTTTATTATTTGCATTTGATTTATTCGTTCATCCAGTCCTTTCCATGGGGACTTTATGCTCAGGAGTGGTAGCATTTTCTAGCAGTGGCTGTATAATGGTGAGAAAAAAAACACCATGTGAATAACATTTGCACAGCAGTGTGATATATTTTAAAATACGGTAAGTGAAGAACTTTGTTGGCGAGTTAACATCAGTGGCATTTTTTCATAACAATTAGAAAGAAGAGTGGGATTTCTCCCATCGTATCTAATACAAATATTGTTAGTATAGAGAGAACAGTCTTGAACTCTTTTTTTTTTTGTAATGTCAGAAAACAAAATGTGCAGTTGCAACACAGTTCACGGCCTCTCATTTGTATGTATTTTTAAGTCACCTTTTTATTGCTTGGTCATGCACAACTGTCGATTGGAGAGATAGTAAAACTGCAACCACATTCTGTAAATGATTGCTTTTCAAAATTGTCTCTTTTGGGTCCTTGCCTTACAGATATGAGACATGCTTTATCTTTTGGAAGAAGCTGGATGAAAAAAAAGGGAAAAGGCCACAATTTCCTAATGCTAAAATAACATTACCCTTTGAAGCTTGTGATTCTGCACACAGACACACATTAATACTGTTTATATATATTCTAAATGTATGTTGTGTATGCACAATATATTTGTTTTTCTGTCTATTCATGCACTCATATGCAAAATGCATTACTGGGTACAGGTATATATGAGTCTTCATTATACTTAAAGTTGCATCACGACATGTAGCCGAAAGGCTGAATATTACTCAAACTTTTCTGTTATTCTAAAAATCAGTAAATTGCAATCACTTCCATTTCTCCACTGGCTTCGTGATATTTTGCTGCCTTGCTATCCATTGCTGTAAGAGAAATGGACCTTCTAGTAGGCTGTAATTTAAAGGGACAGGCAGCGAACAGATTATTAGTTGTTGACCATAAGGGTCAGTTGGGAACATATTGGGCGAGCAGATTGTTGACACATTTAGAGACCAAACTAGACAGAGCTATTTACAGTATGCTACTGCACAGGTTGCATGTCAATAGAGTTTGGCCGGTCCCAGAAAAAATGATCCATACAGAGTACACTTCCATATTTAGAGGTGTCAGGCATTCGTGATTACCATCTGAACTATTTGTCATTTGTCATTTACCATGTGAGCTGCCGCTAATTTGTGTCCTCTTAAAAGAATTCACCTTTTCCAGGGCCTTCTATTTTCTGATATGTGAACCGTTAGAACTCCTGGAGAACACGGTTTCGAAATTGATCCCACTGAGTTAACAGGCGCTAAGTCCAATTTGCCTTCCTCCAGTTTATCTTTCCTTCTATAGGCATCTCCAGTCAAAAGGTGAAAAAAAAATCTCTGCCAGGTGGCCGTTAAAACAGGAACCCAGACAACTCTGCTTCAGAAATCGCTCGGCCAAACAATAGGAACTTTTTGTGGTCAATTTCATGCAGTTTCTTCTTCTGCAGATAAACCGGAAGTGAAAATCATCGTGGGCTTCCCTGAAGGGCTGACAAGAGAAGGGGAAAATCTAGAACTGACCTGCAAAGCTGATGGCAAACCAAAGTAAGGTTTTGTTTACCATCTTTTTACACCCCACACACCAAACAGTGAGAGCTGTCCGACGAGTGGATCTGAAATCTGGCTGTACTTCCAATTTCTTCTAAAATTGCAGCACAGGGTTTCATGTGAATAGAGTTTTGGTCTAGTTCCCAGAAGATCATTCTCATGTACAAACTATAACCACCATAAATCCACCAGCACACTTTCTACAGTACGATCCAGTGTTAAAGTAGATACTCAATGGCCAGGAAAGTTAAAGAGGCGTGTAGCTAATGGGTCAGATTTAGAAAGATGTCATGACGTGCTAGCATCTGGCAGAAGCCAGCATCTTGCAGCCAGCAGCCATATCACTCTGCAACCCACAACTGGCAACCCACTGAAGCTCAGCAGGTGTGAGCCTCAGCAGTACCTGGATGGGAGACCTCCTGGGAAAAACTAAGGTTGCTACTTGAAGAGGTGTTAGTGAGGCCAGCAGGGGGCGCTCACCCTGTGGTCCACGTGGGTCCTAATGCCCCAGTATAGTGACAGGGACACTATACTGTAAACAGGAGCCGTCCTTCGGGTGAGGGCTCCCTATGAAATTAATCCTTACTGAAGTTTAACCGTCAGATACACCCGTGGCACAATTGGCCTTAGTTTACTGGTAATAGTGGCTTTTGTCAATGGTGTCAAACCCTCTTTGGATGTACTAATGCACTGTTAAGTCTCGCACATGTGCCATGCACGTTCAGAAGACAGCGATTTAAGATTTTTGCCTGAATAAAAGTATTTCAACCCTGCTTGTGCTGTGCCGGGTTTGCCATGACCCTAACAGAGCCCTGCTGTAAACATTGCGCATTCAGATGAAGACCGTGTTACGCAGAAAAAGAGTGTCTTGAAGGTCACTGTCCTCGGCTGTAGACCCACATTGTGCCTTCTGCTTCCGAGATTGGCTTCGGTTTTCCTTCCCAGGAATAAGCAGCTTTCTGACAATAGCTGGACGGGAGAAAGAAGTACTATATGTATCTCGTAAAATAGCATCTCAGGCCATGTGAAAATATAAGTATTGTTTGATCTAACAGGTAACAAATATGACAAAAGACCAAAAAAATATATTACTCATGATTCTTATTTCCGATTAATTTCCTTTGTCATATTGGGACGTTTTGAAGTCAATCGATCCATTTATTTCCAACTTCAGTACAGAAATAGGGGAGATAATATTTCTACCAAAAACATGTTAATTGAATATAACAAAGCTGTATATTTATGTTTTTGTAAAAGTATTAATTTTGTACTCTTTGCATACTGTATGTATTATTACAACATGTTTCTTGTTGCACAGTGGCAGAGCAGTACAGAACATGGCTGTGATATCAGTTCACACCACGCAAAATACAAAAAGACCAGGTTTAAAAGTGACAGAAGGCAACTGCAATAGTGTGCCAACCCTTGGGATATGACGAACAGTATGCAAACTCACAGACAGAAATACAAAACTGTTCTTTCAATCATTTAAGATATTTTTCAGACTGCCAGTACAGGTCAATTTAAATTTTCATTTTATACTGACAATATCAGTCAATTTGAACTGAGGGAAAGCAAAAAAATAAACAGTTTCTGTTTTAATTAATTAAGGTCCCCAAAGAGCTAAAGTTTTACCTGTCATTATTCCACTTTTTATCTTTCATCGCCATTATATTCTAACACAAAGTAGGAACTTTTAAGATTTAACTTAAGATGTCCCTAAATCCTTAAAACATTAAAGAGTTTTTCCTGTTTGTCACGAGTGTGAGTGTGATTCAGCATGCCATTCTGTTTTTGGTAAGCTCGAGCCTAGCGCTGTAGTTTAGTGTGGGCAATCAAACCCAACCATCAGGTCTTTGGGGGACGAGATGAAACTGGAGCACCCAGAGAAAAAAAAAACACATGGACAGGACCCAGAGTTCTCCATCTCGGGAGAATCAAACCCAGAAGTGCAGAAGTGCAGCTCTATAAGGCAGCCGTGCCACCCGTCTATTTAAAAAAGGATCACAATTAAAAAATTGTAGCTGATGGGCCACAGCTTTGCATCCTACTAGTGAATAAAATGTCACAAAACAAAGACTATTAAATGGGAAGAAGGTTGTCCTTTCAGAAACTGTCAATCATTTTGATAATTTTATTCACAGACTACGGCACAAAGAATAGTTTGGAGCCTGACAAGGTTGGCATTATAAATCTGTCACTTCCTCCTACACTAATAACCTACCTGACTCAGGCAGTGCTAGTGACATATTGGGGCTGAGGTTTTTTGACTTTGATGTACTGATCTGATTCCTGCTTAGTAAACATTGCACTTATTAGGACACGTTTGCCGAGCAAATTCCATTTATTCTGAGGACAGTTACTTGTATTACTTGTATGTTTTTTTTTACTTAGAATATCTTTTAATGGTTTCCAGGAAGAAGCCCTTAGTGATTGCTGAAATTGTGACTAGTGCTTTTTTTTCTTCCTGTCTAGACCTGCATCAAATTTATTTAGAAGGTGTTCTTTTCAATCCCATTATATTAACCTACACCAGCAATTACTCTCTCACTGAGAAGCTTCAGAAGTGATTGCTTTAGAAGTAATGGACACAGAGTGCCACCCCCCAGCCCAGACCCTCTACATTTTCCCTCTTTCTTGAGCCCATCCAGGAGCTGGCCTTGCTGCGAACGGTTTGTAGTCTGAAAGTTGCCTTTACCTCATGGTTTTTTGGCCGAGCTCTCTAAAACTCTCTAAAACAGTTACAGTTACCTCCATTGGGTGGCCTTGTCATGCTACACATGAAGAATTTAATACCCCTCTCTTCCTCAATGAGATCTGTCACCACTGTCTTTTTCTCCTCCATCGGGTGAAACCTACTGTACACTTGAATCTTCATGTAATTTTCTGCCATTTTTGACATTGAAACCCAGTGCCACCCCTGTCCTAAGCCTGCGTGTTTGTGCCTACAGGCCACAGCGCATTAACTGGATGAAAGTTGATGATGATGTCCCAGCCCATGCGGTCATCACTGGCGCGGACTTGTATATCGAAAACCTGAACAAGTCTTTCAATGGGACATACCGCTGCATTGCGTCAAATTCAGTGGGAGAGTCCTACGATGACTACATCCTCTATGTATATGGTAAGTTCTGGCTTTGATAAACCTGAATGCAGTTTTCCTCTCCGCTGTTATGTACAGTACAGCGAGTATTTATCCTTGAAACTCATTTCACATCCCTGCTTTGCCTCAAGTAAGTCAAGTAAGTTTCTGTTAACATTCTTACAGGTCTGCCGTGCTTTATTTCTGATTGCACTTTTAAATTCCACTCACTGCGTGCTGAGCTAGCCTGTGCCAAAATGATTAGATACTATTTTAAGTTTGCAGGAATGAAGTGGGAAAGGGCCTACTCTCCTCTTAGTAAACTACATCGGCCAGACTATCAGCTGCCAAAAAGCTGTTTAGGTGAGGTGTTTTTTAAATGAATGACTGGCAGCATAATACCGCCCTTAAAAAGGTCTAACACAGGACTTCAGACAACAAAGAGCACATTAACAGCAACATATTTGCTGTTAGTAACAGATGTGGATAGTTTAAGCAACTGAACAAAATTGGGAGCAAAGATGAGGGCAGAATTTATCTCTGGGCCGTGGATGGACAGACTTTCCACAAACTCCCTGAACTTTCTAAAAGCATTTATCCAAATATCTGATAGTGTAATGAACAAAGCGGACCACATCGTTTTCGCCGCTTATAAAGCCCAGTGATCAAGAGCCCACAGCAGTTCCAGGTTTTCAGTGAGCAGAATGGTACAGCCACACTTCCTAGCACAGTGGGGAAAAAAAAAAAGGGAAAAGGCAGTCGAAGACGACCTGTTGACTGTCGGCTACTGATGACACAAGGCCTTAATCAGCCATTAAACCGCCTCCTGATATTACGCGTAAACGTCTGGACGTTGATGCGTTTGAAGTGTTTTACACTTCGGTATCCGCACCGATCCTCCAGCTCATCATGTTGAACATTAGAATTGCTAATGCAGGGATCAGGATGCTGCACTGCCGTTGTCACCAGTTAATCTTGCGTCATGTTTTCTGACACCCCCACCTGAGCTTCTGCTGTTAACAGAGCGTTCTGACACACTAAAGAATTCCCCGCACACGCACAGAGAAGCAGGCAGGAGTGACATCTGGCTGCTCCATACTCTTATAATTATTCTTCTTCACATATAAGGGTGACATCTGCTTATTACAAACAGCCTGGCTTTGACATATCTGTGATCGTGTACTAGAACAGAACTGATAAGTCTGATAATGTTCAATTCCATCCATTAGAAAAAAAAAATAGATTCAGCCTCTGTCGCTAATAAAACCTGTAAGTGCTCCATGGCAGAAGGCAACGTTTGATTGCGACACCTTGCTCGAATACTGATGGTTTTTTAAGGTGAAAAATCAGCAGGGGATAAAAAAAAACTAACACGGAGAGAGTTTTATTGACGCAAATGACCAAGGGTTCTGCTGAAGAGCACTGATCTGACAGGCTTCATTTCCTACATGAAAAAAAGACCCAAACGAAAGCCAAAAGAATAATCTTTTATTCATTACTGCAGCACTGGAAAAGCAAGATGTGGGGATATTGGTCGCATTCTTGGATTCCATGTAATTTTTGGATTCCTGGATTTTCCATGTGTTACAACCACACCAGTTTTTGTATTCTGTGTACTGATAAATGGTCTGTAATGACTAAATTAATTGTGCCCTGTACAAAGTTTTTTAAAGTTAAAACTGCATTATACTGTACAGTATATCTCAAGTGGCCGCTTTTCTGCGTAATTTCAAACTGCTGATCCCCACATTTGGCTCCCTATGAAGCAAACCAACCTTTTCTTCCCTGGCGCACTCAAAGCATCCTGAATTTATTTCTTCTGGGCTTGCATCACTGTTTTCTCATCTTCTAACTCCTGTTGAAACATAGGAATTCAGGATAAGAAAGGTTGAAAACAAGGCGGGGCTATTTGTGCCATCTAGCCCGTTTGGTAGTTAGTAGTTAATTGATCCAGGGAACTCATCCAGCATTTCTTGAAAAAACAAACAGGGTGTTCGCTTCAACCATATGGCTGGGAAGTGTGATCCATACTCCTTACTATTGTATTGCACTGTATTATTATTGTATTTCAAGCTGTACTACAGTATATACAGGCTAATGATATAGCAGAAGAGCAAATACTTTCTTGCACTACTCTGACTACCAAATATCCAGGGCAGCCTTAGTCAAAACAAGGCTACTGTACAAAATGTCCAGAAACTTTTTATATCAAAGACAACAACTCATATAGATATATATATATAAAATGACTTAAACTATTCTGCATTGTGAGTCTAATTTGTATTCCCGCAGTCCAAAATAACGCTTTAGTTCTAATTGGCATTCCAGGCCACGTTTCCTTCATTTCATTCAGGGATTTCACACAGTTTGTGTACGTTTCGATAAAACCTCGCACTGTGCAAGTCCAGACCCCTGTTTGCCATCGAGAGAAGTGTGGGCTGCCCAGGTTTTACATTTCCCAGAAGAAAAGGACACTTCTGTGACAGCTCACTTGCTACTGCTGGCCGGCCTGTGCCCCCTGAAGACAACAGTGACAGGGTGAAGACAGATGTAGAATTCTCAACAGTTCTTTAATCTGCTCATTTTCGAAGTCTGCAAAGGCTGAGTGATGGAGAGCATTTCCAGGGCAGTGAAGACTAAACCAGTTAAAGTGAAAAATGTATTCTTTGAGATGCATTTCTAAAGCAATTTACACACCCATCTAGAAAGCCCTGCAGTAGAAAGAGGTCTACCTCGGAGGAGTCTAAAAAGTTTATAAAGCCGTTCTAACCTAATAAAAGGCAATGGTACCTCTGTGCTTTGCTCTTATTGTAGAGCCCACTTCAGCCTGTCAAATGTGCAGTCATTTTTATCCCCCAAGATTAAAAAAAATCACTTTACCTGCTTAAATGCTTACTATTTTAGAGCTTTTTTTTCTCGTTTTTCAAGTAAAATAATACATCAGCAGCCAGGGTTGTGGTCTCAGTGATTTCAGATAAACCGTTTTGGCCCATAGCTGCTGGGATCTCTTCCAGCGTCATTAACCCGTGATCCCCACATCAGTGACTGGAAAAAGCTGGGGGTCAGATTCCTTCAGTGATCGATTCCTGTACTGCTCACACCACTGCTGTTTTTCAGTCTGCTGAGTAACCCAGGCTTGCTTTCTTGCTCAGCCCCTCTCTCGTATCAGATTCCCCATCTCTAACTCTGTGACAGAAGCTGTGTGGTTTAACCTCTGAAGTCATTAACCTAAGCTATCAGTTCAAAAAGTATGTAGCGCCTTTTCGTTTAAGAGCCATTAGAAATCCCCTTGCTTTTTCTCTGTTCTCCCCCCCCCCCCCTTTTGTGTTCTTTTGAAAAAGGGTACTTTTTTTTTCTTATTTGTTTTCTTTGCTCTGAGAAAACCAGCAGGTGTAATAACGTTTAGGACAAGTTCCACTGAAGAACTCACACCGACCCCCCCCAGAAAATGCATCGCATACATGATCTATATTTTTACGTACTATGTACTGTAAGTGATCAGGTAATCGTGAAAATAAAAATTTCACACTGAGTTTATAACTGAAGCTCACTCCCACCCTCACTGACCTAGCTCAGTATTTACAGTAGGCACGTAACAAATACCTCTTCCCACTGTTCCTCTCTGGACATCCGTTCTTGCCCTCATCATCACCCTTGCTGTAGATCTTTTCGTGGTTCATTATATCTCATCTCCACTGGAGGTCCACATGACTCGTTTTGAGCAACGTCATTTTCTTGGTGAAGGACACAACTTCAGTTGTGGAAGCCCATTTTTTACACACGAGTGTAATTATGATGGAGATGGCTAACGTGTTTTATCTCTTGATCACTCGTAGTAAAGATAGGTATGTTTTTTTTTTAATTTAATTTTCCTAATTCAAATGGAAGTGAGCCTGGCCTGTTTGTATTTTTGGAGCGCAGTTGCCTAGACCAATTCAGTCCTTTCCCAATAAAAATACATAATTGCTATGACAAAGATTTTAGAGTATGAAGTGGCATTGATCAGAGGTATCTGTGTCACGCTGATGGAGCCTGGATAAAGAAATTATAAGACAGTACCATTTTTTGTTGTTTTGTGGCTGGACAAGAGTTAATAAAATATCAAATAAATAATTAATGTTTTTGGTTTGGTTATGGATTTTTACAAGGGTGCCTCTTTCCTTACTTCATACACATCTTCACCTAAAAGTGGGAGTTTCTTATTTACAGCATATGTTTATTAACTCATCAGTTTCTTTCTTTGATTATCAGGGAAGAATTATCACTGCAGGTATGCTGAGAGGTTTTAATTGGCTTTTCTGTCATCAGCATTGCCAGAGATACCTGTTGTTTCTCATTTTTTTCTTAATTAGAAAAGAGGCTTGAAAGAGCCCATCCATCTTGCATGTCTTAATGTGCAGTTGGCAGGTTGGCAGTGATTTAGGCTGTGGAGGCTAACTGGGCACCAGAGAACCTGATTACTGTCTGCCTGCACACCTTTAATATCTGTATTTTTACTGTGATTCTTAATTTGAGCTTTAATGCTATTGGAGACAGCTCTGAGTTCTTTTTGTATTGCATTTTACTCATTTATTTTAACAGCTTTTAATTGACTTACTTTTAATTGCAAGCAGATTTTGTGTTTTCAGGCTAATGTCAGTGTTAAATCTCCAAAACATTTGCTTATCACGGCAAAACTTCATCTGGACCCCATTTAAAAGTAACACCATCCTGTTGCAATGGTCCAGGTTGTTGTCATTACTGTTCTTGATAGAATTTCAGAATTTGCAAATGGTGACGCCCCTGTTAACAAGCTGTTATCTCCCTTGTAGTGCTGCTTTTCCACCAGTTATTCGCTTCACAGCATATTCCCAGACATGCGAAATGGGTCCTTAACAAAATGATGAAAAGGTGAACTGCCTTTGTTTTCCATTATAAGAAAGGAGAAACCCACTTCTGAAGATTCCCTTTCTTTACCATTTCAGAACACCTACCAGATAAAGCAAGAGAATTCTTGTACAGCTGCCTGTGTAGTTGCTGGGGGTTATCAACATCCAGAACCCACTGTTGTGCATGGTCTATTAGCCTGATTGTTTTTATGTGCCTTTCCTGGGTGGTTGTTAGGCCTTAACAATCCCCTCTGTGCAGGTTTTTTATTCAGTACCAGCGATCCAGGTTAAAGCATTTATAGCCCTGCACCAGGGCCCAGAGCTCAATGGGCAAACAATCCTGTGTTTGAATTGCAGATACAAGGATATCCTTATTCCGAGCCTATAGGGAGAAAGAAAACAGCAAACACTGAAAGAGCCTGCTTCACGTTCTCCACCTGTCTTACCAATTCCAGGGAGTTTCCAGTACAGTCTAGGCCTTAAGGGATGTGTCTTGTCAGCCACACAGAGGTCTAATGAGTCTGCTCATTAGGTTCCAAATGGTGGAGATGATTTTGAATCAGCCACAGTAAATACACCTATATGACACCAGGGGACCCTCTAGAGTTTGAACGCCATAAGCTCCAAGGCTTTAAAGAAGAGCACACCTTTAAAATGTGCATTTTCAGATTTGTGTAGCAAAGTAACTCTGTTTTAACACGGCACGTTTTCTTGCTAATAAAAACATTGACTTTTGACATCTGTTCCATGTCAGATAATGTAGGAGTGTTCATAGTTAACCTGAAGAAAAAAAGTAATTCTACTGTGGTACAGTACCTGAATGTTGTTTTTTCCCTTTTTTCAAGGAAATCCACGTTTTTGATTTGATTTGATCTTTTCTTGTCCTGACCTGATATTTTGAAGTTATTACTGAGGCTTGTTGCCATAGAACAAATTTGCTTCCAGTCTTAAATTAATTTACCAATGCAAAATCACTTCAGGCACATTGTGATTTTTGCTAATCAGTCTAAATTGGAATTTAGAATTTAATTGGAAAACTGTGTGGATCTGCGATGTGTTTTTCATCTCTTCTCAATTAAAATGTTTTAAAATGCATTTGGCCAGTTAGTATTACAACACTTATAGTAATGGTACAGTACAAACAGTATTATTGTAATTGGATTGTTATTTCTGGAAAAAATTGTAAATTAATTGCGGTGGAAGATTTTCACTGGGCTCCTCTTTGAAGGTAAAGCTAAGCTTTATGATGCCAATGCAATAGCAGCTTTCTGAATGGCTTCTCAATGTATGATTAAAGGGAGAATCACAATCATAAAGTTTTGCACAGCAGATAACACCACAAATTAATACAGTTAGTTTTTTGAGTTAGTCTAAAGTATGTATATCCTTTCATTGTGAAATAGTTATCTCCACTGTTAATTGGAGTCCAGGTGAACCTGTTCCCGGAAAACATTCCAAGTTGGGGAAGTTTGTCTGCATCGGTCCTTCACTTTAAAGGGCTGTAGTCTAATGGAGCTCCCGGGATCTGTCATGGTCTTTTCAGGATCCGAACCTTGTCTCATTTCGACAGAGGCACATGCTGTCCATGTTCCTGCCTTCAAGAGGCGTAATCAAGATTGAAGCATGGTCCACAGAAGTTTAGAAAAGGCAATTGCGCTAACACACATGTGCAGTGAATCACCATAGTTTAGGACAGATAACAACTTTGCTTTGACAGGTTGTGATCTATTAAAGAGGTTTATTGACACCACAGACATACAAATCTCTTAAAATATTCTGCTTTTGGTAACACAACTCAACATCTGCTCTGCACCTCCAATTCACAAATGCATGCACACACATATTGTGCTTTTTCACATTTAGCATTGGATTACTTCAGTTGCTGCATCTGAAGCAAGAGTTAACATGAAAATATATGCAGATTTATTCTGTCATGTATTAAACATCATTCCTTCAGCTTTTAAAGTGCATGTGTTGTGCTGCTTTTTCATCATATTTAATTTTTTTATTACGTTACTGTGATGTTGTATATGAACATGTGGCATTTTTAACAGTTTTACAATGTTTCAGGTTTATCTGAATTTAAATTATTTTCCTCCATGTTCAAATGTGCCTTTTGTGGTTAATTTAATAGTTCATTACTTGTGAATATATATACAAATATACAAACATAACTCTTAGCTAAAATCACTGGGTATGTTTATATAGTGTTGTCTGCATTGCAAAAACTAAAATGCTCTCACTTTGTTTATTTGTAAATATTAAGTAAATAAAGGGTCCTTTGCAGTGCTTTGTAACAGATTGAGAATATCTGTATATTGTAGAAATTAAACAACTGAGTTTCTTACAGTGGCAGTTTATATTAATTTCTAATGCTTTTGTGTGGTAAAAGAGATGCACTTTAGGTTTGGTTATATGCTTCTGTATAAAAGACACACCTGCATTTTGAGCACACATGACTGGTTAAGTGACTATACTATGGATTAAATTCCAGGCAAAGCTTGGTCAAAGAGAGATAGACATAAAATTTGTCATGTTTATTAGTCATGGAAACAAGTATAGCAGTAAACATGGATTAAAAAAAATGATGGAACTATAACCAAATAAGTAGCCTTTGCAGACAATCCCTCAGAGTCCAGTGGAGATCCTGTGTCTTAGCCTTAGGCCTTTTTAAAATTATTTTTTATTATGGAATTTGTTTTTCAACCTTCAGTGCTGGCAGTCGCAATACAATTTAGTAAAAAAATGACCATCCCAATGCAAGATGTCAGCATCTTTGCTGGTCTCATTCACACTAAATGTCCTCCTTTTTCTTGTTGACAATAATATCTGAGCTTCGATTAAGCCTAAACCTAATATGACACTATATTACAAAAACGCCAGGCCAGCTTCTGGAGAATTTCATAACATCCCTGAATATTGTAGGAAAACCTCAGAGGAAAGCATTTGTTGAAGTAAAGAAGAAAATCTCATGGTTCAGCATGGATTGACTATGAATGGTGGATCCATAAATAGCAAAATATTTTTTTTAAAAGAAAACCTTGTAATATTGTAATTGAAGGGTCCCAACTAAAGGAGTGTTGTCATGGCAAGCAACAATGACAATCTTACATCACTGCAGCTCTTTATGTTGATCTGTGAAGGCTCAGAAATATTTGAAACAGTTGCCGCACAGACATGCTGAATGAACACTGAAGTTCCCTTCTTGAACAAATCCGGCCCTCTGCCCTTGTCATCTGGAGTTTTTGACACTTCCAGCCTGTAAATAAATCTTCCAAAATTCATATGTCAAATTATCGCAAGGGCTTCGTCCTGTTTTAATGTTTGTATTAGGCAGTGCCATGCATGCACAATTTTATGGACAGACATTAAAATTTCAAAGCGTACAGCAATCTGTCTTGAAGCATGACACCCCTTAAAGGACGCCTGTCAGAAGATGTTCAGAATCCCCATTTCCAGTGACATTATCATTTCCTTTATATTTTATCATTAGTTTGGAAGTGTTTTGGCTCCCACTGAGATGTTTTGATGCAGCAAGGACAATAAAGCTCACGGCTCTGAAGAGAGAGAGAGCCAATTTCATCTGCCGCTGATGTTCACTCAGTTAACCCCAGCAGGGGCCCTGATGTTTGTCTGGGAGAGATGGGCAAATATTCAGATCGCTTATGTCTACTGTCACAGACTTTAACGTTGCAACAAACTTTTTTAAATATTTTTTTCCCCCTTAATGTTTGACTTTTTGAATAGCGAGATAACACATTTCCGCCATTTTTTTGCATGGGCTCTGTTTTGACTTCCAGATTTCCCTTTCCTTGAGTCACACCGATGTCAATTTCCAGCACTTTTCACACAATCTGCATTGATGTCTTCCATCACGGGGTCAGCGCTAGGGCCTTTGGCGATGCAAGAATGTCACGTCTTTCAGCAAATCATTACTTCGACACGGAGATTGTCACCTTTCATAATGATAGCCCGCTTCTTTGCCTGGCTCAATAGCTCTCTTTTTTTATTTTGCTCTGAGTATTATGATGGAGAAAAGACATCTGAGAAAGTAATTGGAATTGCAACACTAGAGAGCCCTTTAGTACAAGTCAAGGAAATGTCTTTCGAAGACATCTCACAGAATGTGCTCTCTGCCTTTATTTCCATCCCATCCGTCCGTGTTGTCTGTGCTAAGAAATTGCACCCTTGGAATTGTCTTTTTTTTTTCTTGTTGGTATTGCTTTGCTTATTGGGTTTGTTGTAATATGTCATTGAAATTATGATGGGTGTGTATTAATATGCAGTACCTCTCTATATGTGTGCATACATCCTCGCATGCATATACAGTATATACACTGTATGCAAAAAGCCCATCATAAATGTATACACCCTTTGTGTTGCTTCTTTCATTTTGCTTTTTCATTATTTATTTATTATTTGTTTCTCTATGTTTCATTTTTGTATTTTCATCCAGATGCTCGCACAACTACCCCTTTACCCACAACAACCTTCACCACCTCTACCACAACCACCACCACCACCATCATTCCAGCTACTGCCGAAGGTACAGTATTTCATACCTGCCCTGGCTTTTCCTCCTTCACCTGTCTCCTTGGGCTTTCTGATAAGAGGTGGCATATGTGTGTGCGTGTGTCAGAGAGAGAGAGGGGGGAGAGACAGCCAACAGCCTGAACCTGATAAGATCCTATAGCTGATAAGGATAGCTGAGTTGCACAGGCAGTGCTTTCTCATAGTGCAGTAAGGTGAATGCTGCTTGTCAAAACCAATTCCTGTCACATCTTTGATCATTCCAAATTTAGCACCATTTCCCAGGCTTCACAATCTTATCAGAATCTCACTGTTTCCTATCCTGTCCAAGTGACAGATTACAGCAACCCATTGTGTTTCCTGATGGGTGACAATGACATCATATTTTTTTTTTCCCTGGATGCCAAGAAACTGAATTTCTTAGGATGCTATCAGGACTGTTTTGCCCAGCTGTGTGTGTGTGTCTGCCTTTTTTTATCGGTTTTTGTCCTTACTACCCTGAGGAGTTGAAGTCTTGGGCCTTTTTTTATTAAGTTTTCTGGTGACCTTTCTGTCCAGAGTGCTTTGCTTGCCCTACTAAAGAGTGGCTGTAGTCTCTTCTTTTGCTTTCGCCAACAAATTTAGGCTGTTAAGCTTATTATTAAATAACTACGGTAAGTGGACCACAAGCAAACTGCCAGTGAGCTTATTCTTCTCTTTTGTATCAATTCTTGGCTTGCCGAGTTCAACTGTAGAGATAGAATTATGTAATAGAAATGTACAACCAGTGCCGGAGGTTGAGGTCTTTGTTTTCTTGGTGTTGGGAAAGTGTTTTATTTTGACGCTTTTATTAATTGCAGGTTTTGGTCAGAAGGTGTTAGCTTGACTTAAACTGTAAAATAGAAATATTTAAAAACCGGCCCACACGGCGTAAGCTTTATGGAAATACTATTTTATCTTCAGTTTCCATTTAGAGATATTTTATTTGAGTGGTTTATTCTGATATATATATATATGTAATTGTATATTTTTAACATTTACATGTAATACATTTACAGTTCCAGTTCACACTTTTAACTAACAGGGATTTTAGTAGTAGTAGTACCTAGCATTTCTATATTGCTTTTCATACCAAATTATCCTCACCCACCTCTGTACCCCCTCTGAGGAGGTAGAAAAGGGATCATTTACAGTACTTCGCCACTTGAATTAAAGGGGAGGTTTAGATAAGTCAGATTAATGAAGGCTCCTGTGAGCAGCGCCATGGGATCTTCTCTGACCACATAGTCTGAAACCAAGTCTTACCCAAAGGATGGCACCTCAGTCAGCTTTCGGGGCCTGTCATTCAAAATTTCTGGCCCAGAGCTGAAGAGTTATTGCCACTCCTTGTTCCTCCAACACAATTGACACGTCTACCAGGGGAAATATTTCACGTCTTTTCTTAAGGACTCAAGGCGGGTTGTAGTCCAGTACTTTAAGAAGCCAACCCTGGAACGTAGTTTCCAACCCTTTCCTTATTTGTAACTTACATTTTTAGCTCATAATATAATACTGTGATATTTCCTTCAGTGTTTGGAGCCTCTAGCTAATACTGTCCAGATTTATAGTAGTTTAAAGCACAGACAGTTCTGAATTACATACAGCGAAAAGCAAACTTTAGAAAGGCAGCAGTTTCAGTTTCATATATTACATTAAAAGAGGCATTTCAGCATACATCTTGAGCATTAGTATTTTATGCATATCTTTTGCTGAGTTTCAAGAGAAAAATACTGTACATATGCAGCTTTATAAGTTCCCCTCCTCTTCTGAAAATGGTGTGTATTTATATATAAAGGTAGCTGCTTAAAACCATAATACCCTTAGAAGGCTGATTCCATTTATTCACATTTAGCTTATGGTTATAGATCATGAGTGCCAAATGAATTCATCAGTGAAAAGAGGTAGAGGCCACTTAGAAATTTAATACATTTTTGATAAACTGGCTATAAGAGAAATGGAATAGGGCATACTGCACTTTTAAAAAATCTATTAAAGTCTAACACAGGGCTAAAGTGCTTAACAGCTGCAGGAGGTGACATTTAGAGATGACTAAATTGCCATTTATACTGCAAAATAAATGACTAAATGGAAGGCCCTTCTCACCACTGTCCGCATCAGGGACAGATGTCATTAATTCCTATTTGTATTGCTTTTCCTGCTAAACACAGCTTCGAAATGGATGTGTATCGATATTTACAGTATAAGCATGCCTTTAAAAAAAAAAAGATTTTGTGGTTTTGAGCAAAGAGATGAACTCCCTCTTTTCGGGGGGAACAACAGAGTGAAATGAGGCCTTCCACGTCTCCTGTGTGCTTTTGTATCGTTTTCTGAGGCGTGATTGTGGAGCCCAGGAAAAGGCTGCCATCCACAGGTCTGTGAATGGAAAGGGGTCACAGTAAAATGGCATACAGAATTACACAATCCTGTGAACTTAATTGACTATTTGCAGGGGGCAAAACGCAGAACCCTACTACATGCCAAAAGGCATTTTTAAATTCCAGAACTACATCCAGTTCCCATAATGCTGTTTCCTGTTGTTTTATTGCTGACAGTTAAGAAGTTTCCCTTTGGTGCTCCATCACAACTTTGAACACCTGCTCCTACTTAAATACAGTCATTTCAAAACTTGACTCATTAGGAGAAGGGAGTTTGCTCAGTTAATAGTGATTTTTCCCTGACGTTCACACCACAAGTGGTAAACTGTGCTAAAGGTACCACTGTTGAGCACGTTGACATTTGCGACTAAAGTAGTTGGGGGAGTCAAATTTCAGTTTATAAATATATCAAACAATAAATAAAAATAATATATATAATAACCCAATAAATAAGTTGCTATTTCTGTTAGTAGGTGTAACTCCATTCATAATAACCCCTTAAGCATATACTGTATAAAATCTCCTAAAAAAAAATAAGCTTTTGCAGAGTCTAACCACAAAGCATCCCAACATATTTGTTACTTTTTATGCCATGTTTTCTTTTTGTGTATAATTAAAATAAGGGAGATCATCAGCTCAGTTTGCTGGGACACCAAGTTTCATTTAATGGACTTTGCAGATGTAAAGATTTGTTTAATTGTGATCTTTGTTATCTGCAGTATATTTGGTAAAAGCGTTGAGCAGAAATCACCTAGCAATGTATCTGGCCCTGAACAAAAAAGTCTGGAGGTTATTGTGTAGAATTTAATAGCATATATGCCATCTGGAGATTTGAAAAATAAATAAATTTACCAAAAAGAGCTTCTGGATGAGGGAGGTGGTAGAGTCGGTATCTTTCCTTGTCCAATAACTCCAGCAAGATAAACAGCAGACAGAGAGATAGTACCCAGACTGAAAAAGGGCTAATTTTCTAAAGGTCAATAGCATTACCACTGGGAAAACAGCAACTGTGCTCACATGATACACAGCTAAGGCAGACTATCAAGTTGAATTTATCGTGCTTAGCATGATGCAAAGGAAGAAATGCTCCTGAATGTAATAAACAATGTACTGAGTTATTGTTTATATATTGTTACTAGTACTGTGATTGGATTCCATGATGACTCGCATAGCTTGGAAAAAAGTTAAATGTTCGCGTGGTAGTCAGCACTAGTCTACAAACATGTTTTTAAGCACTCCCTTCCCAAAAAAAATTTTTCGTGAGGCTTTTTTTCCCCAGAATTATACTCTAGTCTCATATAGTAAAAAAGCATCCAACTTTATAGTCCATTGTGTTATTTTAAAGAAAAAAATTTTGATGTCAGATGTTAATCAGCATAATGACTTTACATATGGCATGTATATTTTCATAAAATATCAGTGCGCTTGCTTCAGAGAAGACTGTCATTTAATTGATAACTTTGTGAATTACATGCGACACAATTCCTCTGTTGCTCAGTATTGCTCTGTACGTGTATCATATTTGCTTTTCACCTGCTAAAAGAGTGAGACCGCTCAAGATGTAGAATGAAATGCTTCTGACCAAAAACCTAGCCATATATACTCTTGATGAGATACTGATGCAGGCAGGCTTAGCAGGACAGTTCTCTTTAAGGTTTGGATGGTATTTCGATGACTTGAAAAAGAACCCGAGAGGCTTTAAAAAAACAATTATCACTGACACTTTCTCCCCACCACAGTGTCTCTTGATGATCTCATGTTCATGCTGACCTGGGGCCTGTGCAGAAGAGAAGGGATTGGGTTGGGGAATCGTGTTTGCTCATCTGATGACATATTGACCAACTTGTGCAAATCCCACAACTTAGTGATGGAGTTAGCTCAAGAAACCGGGTACTTGATGATGATTTAAGCTCATTCATTTTGCATTTAATTTCCAGGATGGATCAATTAGCTTCTATTATCATGGTTTGCCCTTAGTAAGCAAGAAATCCCACCTTCCGGGGGTTCCTGCTGCTTTAAAGTTGCCTTATCCCGCTTGTGATCTGTAGCAATAGGCAGTAATCTGCAGCCGGGTGACTTGCATTCATCCCATGTGAAGTGCACTGCGTTTGAAATAAGAAAATGTCAAACAATCATTTGAAGATTATTTTCACTGATCCAGGTGCCCTGTTCAGTATAATGGACACAGCCAAGGGGTTTTTATTAATGCTCAAGGTGAAAGAAAAAAAAATTCAGAGAAAACAAAAAAAGAGACATACAGTCTGAAGGCAGAAATCAAAGGACTTTGGGCTGTAGTCCTGACCAACCAGTCTGGCACTCTGCGTGTTTGATGAAATGTCCCTTTGAGATAAAACTAAAAGGCAAGCCTAATTACAAGAAGTTTATCCTTTGTACAATAATTGTTAATTTTTTTCATGTGTTGCTAGGATATTGAGCATAGTGGGGAGCTAAATGATACAATTAAGTGATTTTGATTTATTATTCAAAAACAGTTTTTTGTGTAATATTTAAGAAGTTGGAATAATTCACGTTTGATAAATCTCGGTTACTTTCAAAGATATGTCTGCGCCTTTTTTAATTATTACAAATTACAAAGGTCTGCATTTTAAAAAAAAGGCGCTCATTGTTACTCTTTGATTTAAACAATGAAGCCAACAGGGACACATCACTGCCTTTCATTTAGATTTCTGAAGTTTAGAAGGAAGTTAATTGCAATTCATTTAGAGGTTTTGTGTGTGGTAATAATTTCAAGATAGGAAAACAGTTTCAAAGCAAGACGCTTGGCAAAGCTCTTTCCTGTTTCCCTTTCGGATTCTGACAGTTAATCCCAGGTCAGCAGGGAACTCTTCAATGTGGGGGCCCTCCAGTAAGCACAAGGAGGACATCCTAGGTAGTGAACTGATTGTCTCTGGGGTGAGCGAAAAACAAAAGCAAAGGCGCTTGATTTTTAAACCTTAAAGGTTTCAGGTGTTCAGAAGCCAGTGCAGTTTGTGTGGCAGTTCCATGATCCCCGTACTTCTGCGATGGGTGACTCTGGCACGTCGCACCAGAGGGCAGGCGGAGGGGCTGCTCTGCTGGTGTCCTCTCACAGGTCCAGCACTGTTTAATTGCACCCAGTTACAGAATGTGGGCTTTCCTCTCTCCAGCAAAGAACTTCGAAGAGACTTGAAAGAGAGAGAGAGACTGAGAGAAGCACTAAAGAGAAAATAGATTGTATTTCTCCACTGATTTCCAGCCCTACAGCAAGGCAGAGGCAGTGTTAAAGAAAGCTGCCATGGAGGGGTGAATTTGTAGAAGAAATGTCTATTGCCATAGGGAATGGAAGGAAAATTCCTCCCTGATTAACAGGTCAAGCAGTTTCTTACACAACAATCAGGTGAATAATCTTGAATTGTCTGCAATAGGGATAAATGGAAATTTTCAGATTGCTAGAATATCCCATTTATAATCACAAGAAGCATTCTAACTGCAGCACCTTTTAAACGCGTTACCTTGCGGTTGTATATTTGTGTATAAGTGTGTACCCTTTTCTAAAATTGACATCAAACTAAGGGGAACACCTGGGTTATGGCCCTTTTTGCCCAATGTTGTTTTTTTAATTCAAATCATTTTTTTGACCTTCCTACTGCAGTACCCTAGGCTTTCTTCTGAGATTATTTCAAAAATATGTTTATGTGGATTCGCTTGTATGGTCTCTGCGTGGAGCTCCCGAATTCAGGCTCAGTGAGCTCTGTGATCCAGGCTTCCTGGTTTTGTAACCATAGGCACCACATTTTCAAATTAATACAAAATTTATGCAATTCATTAGGTTACGTAAATAGTAAGAATACTTTAAGGGGGTTGTCTTCCTTCCCATTGCACTCCTGCTAGCCATCATTTTTTGTTACTCTCAAATTCAGTGCAGAATGTGGAATACAGATCCCGTTAGGTTCCCTTAATGGGTAGTGGCAATCTTGCGTGCACAAAGGCAACCAGTTAATGAAATGAATCATAATTAACTAACAGTCTTATAGGTTGACAAAAGAGTTCAGGACAAGACATAATAATTAACATTGTGCATCCTACAGTAAGCTCACAAATTAGACTTGTGCAGAGTAAAAATGCCTTCATCCCTGGTTGAACAGTAATATGATCAAATATTGGGGGTGCTTGTCGACAACCAAGGGTCTCCTGACTCCCAGCAACACAGTCGCACTTGTGACTCCTAGCGCACTTGTATGCTAGTGGTACTGTTGGCCAGGGATACGTCGTCTACTCTCCTGCATGGGGCTTCATAGCTTGTAACATGTTGAAAGATGAAGGTTTCAGAGGTGGGAAGTTGGGAAGAATCGGCCCACACTTCTTCATTCTCCATCATGGGTGATTACTGGGCTTATAACCGTTCACCAAGACAGCCTGAACGCACAGCTGGCTGTTCACGATTGGGTGAGCTTGTAAGAAAAACCCAGTTTTAAAAAAAGAAACAAAAATATCTTGTCTGCATATTTAGCATATAAAAAAACACACATTTCGGTTGTGGAGCCTTCTTCGGGTGTCTCTTTTTCTTAGCATTACAGCATAGAATGAACTTCAACCTGATCGTTATCATAATGCATGTTTGTACTGGGTTTTTAACAAAAGATGAGGTATTGTAAATGGTTTTACTAATTCTGTAACCAACAAGGTCAGGATATTCGTTCAGTCATTGTCATTGTAAAATTGCTATGATGTGGTTGTTCATGTACAGTATACTTACTGCACAGTTTTGTTTTCCTTTTCCTAGTTCTTTAAAACATTAAAAAGCCATGGTGGACTGTGAATAGCACTGACTGAAAAGCACACATTTCCTTGAGCACAGGCAGAGGAGCTTACAAAACCCCCAGGACTCAAAATATGTCTGAGTGTTTTTACAAGACTCCGTCCTCTATCGGTAGGAGCAGTGCAAAGCAGATGAGGTATCACAAAGTTCCAAAACCGATTGCGATTCGAAGTGAAAGAAAAAATCTCCAAAATACAGCCGACTTCATTGTTCTTGTCTGGCCAAAAAGAAAGAAGAGATGTATGTGCGATTTGGTATCTAGGTTTCAAAATCTGGCTGGGCTTTGTTTCTGACTGAGTATAACGCATTATGGACAGATAAAAAGGTTAAGGAAAAAATAAATAAAAATAAACGCCTCCCAAACTATGTAGTATATGTTTACTGATGTGTTAGAGCCCTGCGTCTTGTGCCCCTAGGTATAGTAAAGGGAAGTCACCTCATATATCTGGTTGACAACCATCATTCATGTCTGTATTTCCTACAGTGGTGGAAGCACTGCTGGGTCAATGACACTCTAAAGACATGGTCTGCCATCATTTTAACTGCAGAAGCAGTGCTATAATTTTGATTTAAGCCTTGTTTCTACCTTAAAAGAAATTGTCATCCCCCATTCGGTAACCTTGAAAAGCAGCTCAAAATGTGATGTAACTGGTTAACCTTTCAGCTGCTGTGAGCTGATCCACATCCCATTGCTGGGAGGGTTTAGAATTAGCCAATGTTATAACTGTTTCTCAAAAAAAAAACTCAATAGTTCATCCAGACAGGAGTTTCTAGACAGTGCTATTTTACCAGGTTTTGTCATTTTCCAAAAGCAGCCTTTACAGCTAATTAAATCTATATTAATATACCCCCTAGAGGACTGCATTACTCAAAGAGTTGAAATACAGTCCGTGTTTTGTAGCTCTTTATTTTTTAATTGGAGTTGGTCATTTAGAGCCTTCTGTTCCTCAAGCTTCTCATCCAGCAATACATCAAATTAGCACTTACTTGCTCATGTAACAAATTATTTTGTACAAATTATTTTTGTATCGTAGCCCCTGTGAATATCATTTCAAGTATATAAAGTACTTGACTGGAGATCCGTTTTTTAGGATTACTTTGTTTTTGCCCAGCCAATATGACAGCTTGTTTTTGGTGCGGGTCTGCTGTATGCATTTTTCACTCCACAAAAATATGATACGTTTTCTCGTTATGGTGCTGAAGTAATCCTTGATGTTTTATGCATGAGCGCTTTAAAGAAAATGAATGATATGAGGTAGAGGAGGAAACCTCGGGTCCACGATAGACATGAGGTCTTCTTGTTTTGATTTCTTGGGCTTATTTAAGTTATGATTTACACAAAAATTTGAATCCTGCATTTTTAGACCTGCAGGGAAGCATTTAGTCCTTTTAACAAAAATGATTAGATCCACCAAGAAGAATGCAGGTAATCATCAATTCGGGAGTAGCAGAATCATAACTGCCCCCACCCCCCACTTAATACTTAAGTAATACTTTGAAACTAGACAGATATACTAAACAGAATTACATAAATGGAAGCTCCGTGATTATTCACACAATGACACGGCAGGTGAAATTTAATTCCTAGAACTGTAAAGAGGGAAATGGACAGGAGCCGAAGTGTCCAGTGTCCAGCTAGGGAGAGGTCAGTTAAGATTGCCCCAACCCTGCAGCAGTCACCCCTGTGTGGCGAAAATGTGTGAGTCTGTGCTATTCTCGTCACAAAGGCAGCTCTGTTGCTGCTTTCTTGTTATTGTTGCAGTGGTTGCTGTTATGATTGTAATTGCTTTTTTTTTATTTTCTGAACTTGTTGTCTTTCTCATGCAGATGGTCTCTCAAATGCCTGCCTCTCACATCTTATATCTGTTCCATTTTTTGTTTCCATTCTCCCTTTTTTTTGCATGCTGTTCCTCCTGTTTCCTTCCTTCCTCCAAACCTCTTCTCCCTGTGTGTGTTCAGACACCGCGCTGACTACAGAACCTGCAGCTCACGGTTGGTATCACCCCCTGATTTCTACTTCTAGCCACGCAGCTCTAGCAGAATAGACCAGCAGATTAAAAACAGAAATGCTTTGCCGTTTGTTTTTACTGTGGGAAGCCGATATGGTTAAAAACAAGAAACGTACACACTTATTTTCCTTCCCACAGCTGTCCTTTCAACAACTGAGATGTTAATTGAAAAGTTTCCACTCTTAACTACTAACACAGCTAGAAGAAGGGCACTAACTTTTGGGCAGTGTCTTCTGCAAAAAAGTTATTCTCTGTTGTGAGATGCGTTCCTAAAAGGACTTCTAAATTGCAAAGATCAAGATGATCTTTTTACTGAAGAAAAAGAAATGCTATAAGGTTTAACTTATAGGGTTTGATTACTGTTCATTTAGGTTCACTGAATATGATGTTTGGATGTTTGCTAGCCAGTGCTCGTCATTAATCCAGTGCATACCTGTAACCTGAAGTAACGAAGCAGGCTGTAATCATAGCCGATCACTTGCACATCGGCTATGCTTTGAAAACATCCTGCATCAGACGAATACATTTAAAATTAATTAAAAGGATTTATGCTCACCACTCACTAAAACTTTGATTGTGTTTGCTGGCATTTCAGTGTTGCAATAAATACTGTGCCATAACGGTAACCTCCACCTGGTTCAGTAACGTCAGGCTTTGATTTATGACATTGTATTCATGTAAACCATTGAGAAATCTGTTGAAATTACCTACATTTGTTATTTGAATATCAAATAGAACTCAAAAGAAGAGTACATAAGATAAAGATGGAGATAAATTGACTCACACAATGCAGTGCAATTTGCTTAAACTTCATATCCTAGGAATTGCATATTCTATTGTGTTGTACTTCTAAATGTCAACCTTTATTACGTTATCAGGCTGATTATATTTTAATAAATTTTTGATCAGCTATCAGAAAGCCGTGTTTGCTATGAGATTATGGTTTTACCTTTCAAATTATAATTACCAGGCACAAAAATAAATCCAGTAAATCTTTGCTCACACATCATAATTCTTTTCAATTAGATGCTCTGTACAAACATGCAGCGCTTGATTAAATCTACACAAGGGCACTTTAATAACACTGCTTCAAAAACTCCAAATTTTAAATTGTAACAAAATCTCAAGTCTATCTTATTGCTTGTACTTCTCTGTTACAGTTTAAACAAAGCTCTATGATGTACATACAAAAGCTTTTCCCCTTGGAAAATGGAATAATGTTAAGCTTTTGAAATAACAGAAGTCTTTTAAGAAATGAATAGAAAAGAAAAACTTTAATTTGATGCATTCTCATTACTGATTACATTTGAAAAATTCTTAAATTATCCAAGAATTTAACTGTGGATTCCGAACAATTTGGAAATTCAATACAACACTCACAATTTGCCAGATATTAGCATTAAATTCTACTGCATTCCGTAAAGAGAGTTGTTTGTTTTTATCATTCCGATTTGTTTTACAAAAGCTCATTATCTGCATTGAATGTGACTGAAACTACAAAAGCATGACATTAAAATGTTTGTGTTCTATTTACAATATACATCCTAGTTTTTTTCTGTGTTATTTAACTATGAGGTATTTGAAAACTTTATGTAACCTCTGATATTTGTCTAACAAGTATGGAAACATCATCTGACATGCACTGCAGGGTAGACCAGGAGCAAATAACTGTCCTGATAAATATAATTATCCTTAAGTGGTTTTTGTATATCCGACTGCTTGGGTATCACAAGTGTTTTGTTTGTGCTGCTGTGGATAATGAATCCATATGATGTTTTGCCAGGCTTTATGCATTGATATTTTAGGAGCTCTTCCCCAGCACTGATCTCTTTAACTGCTGTGTGTAAACTAGAATTGAGGCAGGATTCTTAGAACAAGTACAGAATTAATTTGAGGAAGAACAAGATGTTTGATCAAAGCAAGAAGCGTACAGAATACTGTACATTGCTGCATTAGTTGTTTGTGTGTGTGGTTTCAGTAAAAAAGATTGTTTAAATAATTCAGACAACTCATGTTTGACAGGGCTTTCACTCTCTTTTAATAGATGTGATGTTGGGCTCATTATTACCCCAGTAACAAAGTTCTGCTGCTTGAACTCTACAGACACAGCAGGCCTTGCCACATGGAGTCATAGATCAAAAATCATATTGCTGGCATTTCTGTCAAAGCTTACAGAAAGTTTGCACATTTTTTTTCTCTCTCCCTAATCAGTTTATTTCAAGGGAAGCATTAAGCGTTGTTTTTTGTGTTAAGTCACAGCATTTTCTCAACTACATTCTGGGGAGGAGGATCATGATTTGAAGCCAAGTGTTTCTGAGTGTACCTGATTTTCATACACCCCCTTTAGAGCACAGTCTCTGCTCCCTACGCGCTGTAAGTTTTAATAGTATTTTTGGGCAATTATGAAAACTGGGGCTGAGGCCGCACAAGTCCTGGTGTCCGTAAGCTATTTCACCTCGGCGGCTTTTCCCTGTGTAAACCTAACACTGACACTGTGCTTTTCCCTTTTAACCTGAATCTTATGAAAGAGCTAACCTGCTTTCACCTTTCAAACATTAAACACGGGGAAAGTTAACCTGCTTCCCCTCTATAAGCCACTGGAGTGCCAACCTTTTCCCTGCAACCCTGTTGGGAAGTCCAACCATAAGCTTGAACTAGCCTGACACCGTGACTAGGCGATTAGACATTAAGAACCGTGGGCTGAACCTCTTTATGGAGAGTGTGATTGAACACAGACACGGAAGATCTTATTACAACCGTGCCATGTCAATGCCTGAGCTTTTTCCTCTCTCTGATTGGTCTGTAAGCCACACACCTACAGTGCATACTGCCACAGATGGCTCAGACATGGTTGCTCTGGTACACCGACTTAGATTGAGTGTACTGTATATCCAACATCCGTGTGGTTAAAGACAGGTAATTAAAGCGGCTAATTTAGAATGAAAAGTGTCCGTATGTAGTGCAGATTGTGTGTAAGCAGTCCCAGAGGACTGCTGTTTCTAGATTGAAAAACATTTTCATGAAAATGTTTTTTGCCACAATTTAATGTTGTACTTTAGTGTGCTTATTTGAAATTAGAATAAGAGATGAGGTGTAAATCTGGCACAGCTACTTCAGTTTAAGGCTCAGGTGAGAGGCAACAGTTTAAATTATTTGACGGATACCAGGGACAGGTGTGTTTTTCTAAATTATATTTTAAATTATAGTGGCAGTGTATCGCAGTGGTTATCATCGCTACCTTGCAGCAAGGGGGCTCTGAGTTTATTTCCGGCTCCATTTTCCTCCCACAGTCCCATGACAAGCTGGTAGGTTGTTTGGCTTCTAGAAACAAATCGCTCCCGTACGTGCATGTCTGTTTTTGGCTCCAGCTCCCCTGCGACCTTTCGTTAGAAAATACATTTAGAAAATGGGTGGATTCATTTTTTTCATTAATTAATTTAAAGAATGATTTTTTGATATTTAGTAATAGTGTCTGGATGGAATTGATAATAGCTGTCAGTTTGTTTAAGCTCTAACAGACTATGTATTCTATATTTTTATATATAAGATTATATATATATTCTTTGTATTATTCTTGTACTATATACAGTAAATCATCATGTTTAAAGCCTCCTTTTGTGTGCCAGAGTACATCCCAGTGCGCTCAGAGTGCAAAGAAACTTGTTGATTTGCATTCCTTGGAAGATGCACCATTGTAATTGTTTCCATTTGTCATTTCTTTGGTTCAGAAAGTTGCTGGCAGTTGCAAGTTAGAGATGTTAAAAGGGACTTGACTGATGAGTGTTATTTTTTTAGAAAAAAAACAACTGACAAATTGACTTTTAAAAGTAAATTAATCCCTGAAGAACGACTGCATGAGATGAGCTTTCTTTCAGTGATGTCGGCCTTTTTTCTTTTAGTGTAAGAATTGTAATGTGAACTGTCTCCAAGGTGATACTTTGGCCATGGCAGAGTGTTTCTCCTAGAATGTTCTTTTGTTCCAAACCGTGACCGTTTCTCTGCTTTAGTCGCCATCTCGTCCAGTCCATGTGCCAGCACAGAAACCTGAAAAGGGGGCAGAAGTGCACTGGCGCTGACACTGAAGGCCTTTGCTGGACAGTTAGTGGATGGGCGTGATAGGAAATAACCCAACGAGCTCAGTGGTTTGGCTCACGAGCTACCCAAGTAGTGACTGGCAGAGGAGCAAAATGATTCTGGAGGGATGAATAATTTCAGGAGTGTTTTCCAATGGCGTTTATACTGCATGCCTGGGGAAAGAAAAGACACTACAGCAGTATCTGAATGCCATGATAATCTTATCTCCTCTTTACGTAGCTTTTACGTAGCTTGCTTCAATGAGTGTGTTTCCCTTGCTTTGCTGCAGGCCCGTGTTTCTGAGAAAAAGCCAGGTTTGAAGTGACCAAGCAAGACACTAAAAAAACACATTTCATTCACATTTCATTCTTATCATGCTCACAGGGCAGTAAGTGCAGGGGATGGAGAGAGATGCCTGGTGGTTTTATACACTCTGTCTCTCTAAAAGAGTGTTACAGTATCTGTATTTTCTGAGACCACTAGATTCCGGTATTATATATTTAGGTTGTTGCACTGTTCTTTAAAGCTTTTCCCTTAGTTTATTTTAAAGAATATTTTACAGTATTTTAAAATATTGCACAGTATTTCAAAATAATCTTGTTGGTGTTTAAGATAAATTGTCAAACCAGAGTAATACAGAGTAAATAATGTCACAAAAGCCAAAGGAGTTAATGCTTCTGGGGAAAATGTTTCATGGCATCAGGGCCTAGCAAAGGTTCAGGAGATAAAATCAACCTCTGCACTCAATCCCAAACTTGTAAGCGTGGGCGCTTTCTTCTGTGTACCTTTCTGATTTGTATCTTTTCATCTTCAGGTATTTCCTGTCGAACTTCAAATAGAAGGGCAGTGCACAACAACTACTAAAATGATCCAAGAAAAATGTAACAGTGTTTCGAACAAAACTGCACA